AGCTACTGTTTCCTAGTACGTCATCTGATTACTGCCTTCTGTGTGAGGGAGAAAGAACAGGAACATCAAGCAGGCATCTAGTGTGAGCTGGCCACTGTCTTACAACACCAGAGTCTTCCAGCCAACCCCTAACCACACAGAGCCTACTCTAGTGCCATGAATTTCTGGAGAGCAAGAGCCTCCTCCTCAATTTGCTCTTCTGGGAAATGTTAAAGTTTAAAACTCTTTCTTCCACTAGATGGCACTCTGACCTGATCAGTACAGACCCCTCCCCTTGCATTGTGGCAGTGTTTTAGGAAATTTTAAAAAAGGAACAGCATCACTGGAGGAATCATAATCATAAGCAAGTAGTCACACTTAGGAGAACAACTAAAGTATTAGCTCACACCTTTAGTAAAGACATCATACTAAAGAGACACAGCAGAGTGTGCTACGATCCCAATGTGTCTCCCCAAATTCATGTATTAAAACTGAACCAACAATGTAATGGTATAAAGTAAAATAAGAAAGGCAAACATATATTCTCTCAGAAGCAGACTTTGTATTTAATAAATTGATACATGGGACAAGGAAATAGACAGGGGAATATAAAGGAGCCTTAAAAAGGGAAACTAAGAGGGTAATGGGAAGAAGGGCAAGAATCACGTTTTCTTGATTTACACACACACACATTTATATATACAAACGTCATTAAAGCAGAGGGGAGCCATGGAAGGGAGGCAAGAGACCAGCAGGAAGGGGAAGGCAGACCAGTGGGAGATTATTAGTAACATTCATGACGTACATATGTGAAATGCTACAATAAAGTCCTTTATTTTATATGCTGACTAAAAATTGACTATAACAAAGGGAGATGGAAGGAAAGCTAGACACAGGGAGCATGCCTACAGTCCCAGCACTGAGACTAAAGCAGGAGTACAGTGAGTTCAGGGCCAGCCAGGGCCATACACTGCCAGGGTGAGGTCAGTCTCAAAAGAACAGAACTGGGGACTTTTACAAAGTAATTGAACCGTGAGGAGGAAGCGGCTTATACTTGAGGCAGTGGGCTTGTCCCCTTCTGTCCCTGTCTCTGTGAGGACAGTGTCCATCCCTCTAGAGCATGCAGCAAAAGGGCACTACCTTGGCAGCTGATACTAGATCCTGACCAGACACAGAACCTGCCAGAACCTTGACTTTGGACTTTCAAAACTGAGTTTTTGAAAATTTTTATTGTCTGTATATATAAGTTATCCAGCCTCAAGTATAGTACCATAAACATTAAGAGTGATTCCATAATACACACACACACACACACACACACACACAAAATTTCAAGGCTATAGGAAGTGGTAACTAGTAGTATAATTGGAAACAATAAGAAGAAGAATAAAGGCCATTTTGTTGGATGTATCAGTAAGTTTCTATCCTAATGGCATTTGCTAAACCTGGTGAAGAAGCATGAGGCGCATCTCGGGTGAGAACTGTAAGAAACTGCCCCATATAACAAGAATTGCCAAACACAATGAATTCAGTAGCCCACCCAAACAACTTGGTACCGGGTGGCCAAATACTTCCTCCTCACTCCACCCTACTTCGAAGGACTTTCAAATCAGCCTCAGGGAAATGCAAAGCCCTAATTTAATGCTTGATGTGGCTCGAAGAACTGAGCCAAAGCTAGTAATCTAAAATCCTGCCAAAGTCAATAAGGGAACTCCTCGTGTACTTCCTGAGTTTCAAGTTGACAAGGGGCTTTGTTCCACTGTGTGAGTGAAAGTTCCCAAGACTCTGTACCTGTAAGGGCTGACTGACTCGACTCCACAGATATGGACGCTTGGAATGCTGCAGGGTCAGGGTCAAATTATCTCAGGCCAGCATCAGGCCCTCAACAGCCACTTATTACCTACCTCTATGTGACACAACCTTCTGCAAGTGTGTCTGCTAGGTAAACCGTTCAAATTCTTGGATGGAATCACAATTTAAAAGTCCTTTAGAAAGGAAAGGGAGATGAGCCTTGCGTGTCAAATTTAAAAGACCTTTAGAAAGGAAAGGGAGACGAGCCTTGCGTGTCCCGGCTTAGAAAGACAGCACCCTCACAAGGGTGCTTGGAAGGAATGTGACTCGGTAAGCAGGTGGTCAGGAAGCCCCCCATCAGTCGGAGCAGTCTGCGCTGAGCCCACGTGTGTGCAGATGTAGGGAAGAAACAAAGCACTCCATGGCAGCTCCTTCCCATCACGCCACACAATCAATGCGTGGATAACGTGCAGAAGGGAGTAGTTTCCAGCCTGGTAACGAGCATGACTTGCGGAACACGTAGACATTACTCAGCATGAAACAGGAATGGAATTCAAGGATGAGCAAGTAAAGCAACAAGAAGAGACGCTGAAAACCAGGGAAGTGAGCGGAGGAAAGACTTAGCAATCACTGCATCACAAGACAAAAGCACCAATGACCAGGAAGGACTCAAGGAAAACCTAGCCCAGCGCAAGGACTATAGACTGAAAAAAGTCTTGTTAGGAGATCAGACACTCAGCGGCTGTGACAGAGCAGATGCATCAAAGACACGTCTAAGATGAAGAATCAGACGACTGTAGCCCAAAAGAGCATGGCCTCCAGGGACACTGAACACAGGCTCTCCACATTCAGATACCCATCTAAGGGTTCTCAGCCATTCCAACATGAAAACAAAACTCCCGCAGAGGAGAGGAATTGGATGGAAGCCAGTTCTCTCCAGGACAGTGAAAAGGTAGTGTGGGAAACAGCATGGTCCAAGAAAATGTCCAGCAGCTACGGCAAGAAGACATGGCCATCAAACTAGGAATAGAGGACTCGGGAGAACATGAAGAGAACTTGGAGGTGCAGTCACGTTTAAGAGATGAATGAGAAGGTAAGGATGGAGAAGCCATGGTCAAAGGACAGTGGGCACCAGCATTCTGAAACAGGTTAGCTAGTAAATGTGATTAGTGGTTAAGAACCAAACACTAAAATCGTATCATGGTGCCACTGTCCTCATCATCCAGGGAGTCAAGGTGACAGCTGGTCTCCAGAACCAAAAGAGGTCGCTAAGAAGAGACAAACTCAGGATGACTCTGAATGTCATGTCCAAAAGGAGGGAGAACAGGATGGATCCTGGCACGGTCTCTGCAGGGCCAGGTCTGCTGTCCAGGAGAGCATCTGGGCAGTTACTCAGCCATTCTATGCTTCACAACCCAGTTTAGCGACTCATTCACTCGCTTGTGTTAGTTACTCGCCAAAACTGAACAGCTGTTTCCTGAGATGTCAGGATGCACCAGAACCATCTTGAGACATCTGCAAGCAGCAGCTCATCTGATCCTCACAAGAGCCCATGAAATGAATGCTACTGTTTCTTCATTTTACAAAGCAGGAAACAGAGGCAGAGAGGTCTGAGCACGTGCCCCAGAGGAATGAACGGAGGCTGAGAACTCAGGCAGTCTGACTCCCAGCAACATCCTCAACCTGCCATACACCATCTGCCCTCATACTTATTCGGAAACTCACAAATACAGCTGTGACAGGGCCAGTGAACTTCTGTCAAGACAGGTTCCCTTTCGAAGAGAGCCCATCATCATTTTCTACAGTGAGACTTGTGATGGAATCTGCCAGTACCAAGTGAGTTGTGGTTCATCCTCTGGAGAAAAGAGGTTTAATAACAACATAAGCTGTGACAGCTGTGTCAGAAGCTTCAACTAAGGGGCAAAGGGAACCATGTGGTCAGCCCTGAAAGCATATACAGACATGTAACATTTCACAGACTGAACATATGTATGTAACTAGGAACACACACACACACACTGGAGAGGTAAGGGAAGCGGGAAATGATATATTATAATCACAACAAAATGTATAGAAATGGGACATAGTAAAATGGAGAAGAGACTGACTGCATGTGTCTTTTGGGAGCAGACGGCAAAGCGAGGCCCTTAGCAGACAGCCACAGTAAAACACTGCCACGGATGAAGCGACAGAGGAGGAAGAAATGTAAGGAGAAACAGCACATGGCCACTGAAGGAATTAGGTCTTACTTTTCCTCATCCTGGGCCACTGGCTACAGTGAGGTGAGATTACCTCAGAAAACATGGTAGAAAATCAAATGGTGTTTGCTTAACACTCATACTTTTATATTACTTAGAATTTCACACTAATAACATATATATGAGTTTCTGTCAGGAGATGAGAAAGAGCGCCCATCCTCACAGCGCCAGCTGCAAGGAGACACAGCATCCAACAGCATGAGAGAGGCCGGGGATGCTGGGCCTGCCTCTTGGAATGACACACCAGGCTGAAATCATTTTCTAAATACTAGTAGTTACAATGCCCTGAAGACCCACTTGCAATAAAGAAGAAAACAAAATACGAACTTTAAGGCTATGCTGCCCATGCCCAGGTAGCAACCTCTCTGAACTAAACATCGACTAATAAACCCTAATACTTCAAAAGCTCCTAACAGTTACTGCTATTTTGCTGGATTGTCGCTATGTCCATAAAAAAATTATAGAAAATTTCAGCTTAAATTGTTTTAATAAACCTACTACATGAAAATATAGTTTATCATACAGAACTTTTTAAAAACTTCAAATTTCCACACACGAAATTTGTCACTGAAAAAGATTTCTTGTCAAGTTTTATCAATAATTCCTATCCATTGGTAAATACCATCATTTGATTATATATGTAAATATTCTGCCTTGACTCAGATTTTAACACAACCTATAAAGCTAAATAACACAAGTTAATGAATTCCACAGTGCAGGGAAGGCCACTGACGGCACAGCACAGAAGCCAGGAAGGACAGAGAGGAGGATGGAGATACTTGGAAGACACAGCCCTAGCCCATCCTTCTTAGTGCGTGGAGTTGTCCCTACAAACCTGGAAAGCAGAAGAACATGCCTGCTACCTCTGCAGGGGTCACAAAGTCAGCACTATCTACACCATTGTCACTTATCAAATATAATGAGTCAAAACTTCTACCATGTTCATCTAAAAAAAAATTAAACTTTACTTACCATCCACTCTGATATAATAACATCCACTTTTTCTACAGGAAGACTCACTTCTTCGATCTTCCCTTTAATTAGTATAATGGTATCTTCAAGTTTATTTAGCCTGAAAGTTATAATGAATTAGACCAGCCTGTTAAATATTTCACTTTATTTACAAACTGTAAAAGAAAAACCACCATGTTTTACTTAACTCAAGTAAAACATGGCATAGCTAGATCAGAGTAGCCACTCCAACATTTGTCCAGTTCCAAACTATAAATGCCAGTGAACTTCTGCAGTTAGAATGGCCATTTTGACGTGATGAAGCACCACTTGGGGTTTCACACATTCACTATCCATTAATTTTTATGCACTTATACCATAGAAAGACAGAAAAAAAACTATGACAGAATCGAAACTAGCAGAGAAAATCAACTCTGTCCTTTTCACAACTCATGTCCTCTTGCCTGCATTCTCTTTCCTCATCACCTAATATCAGCTTCTCTTGGTTTCCTTTCTAAACAGTATATTATACCTACGCTTACCTATTTACATGCATACGCTATACATTACAGGCTAGGATCTGCACATGAAGAAGAACATGAGGTTTTTTTCTGAATTCATTATCTAGCTTAACATATTTTTCAACCGTTTTCCTTTAAATTTCATGATTTAGCTTTGTCTATAGCTGAAAAGATTCCATTTCGTACATGCACCACATTTCATTCTGTTCCTCTGTTGATGGACAGGTAGGCTGGTTCCACCTCCTTGCAGACAGCTGACCAGAGCAGCAATGAACACGGATGTGCAAATATCTCTGGGATCGGTAAGTGCTGGAGGATGAATGGCTGGGTCATCCGGTAGTTCTAGCTCTAGGTTTCTGAGCTCCCGCCAAACTGATTTTCTTAAGTCATACTAATTTCTACCTCCACCAGAGACAAATACGGGCTTTATCTTTCCCCGCATCCTCTTCAAATTTGTTGTCACATTTCTTGATGACAGCTAGTCTGACTAGGGTGAGGTGGATTCGCAGGAGGAGATGATAGTTAGGCTCTCATCCAGGGTGACGGTTACCATGTTTATTTTCCTCTGTGATTTATGAATACTTAAGCATTTTACTGCTCACTTATGCTTCTGTATTTGTTTGTATCTATATTGTATTTCATGAAAAATGTTTAGTTTTCAATTTCTCCAGGGATACTTAGGAAATACGATAGCTGCTTACTATTTTCTATAACACAGCTATAAAGACTTCACGCTTCTTAAAGGAGCAGCCCACACCCAGTCACCCACCCATGCAGACTTATCTCAGGATGGCTGTGTGGAGACAAGGTCTGCTCTGTGAACAGCTGTCTGCTGGGGCCATTTACGATCTTGCTACAACTCACAATGCTGCCAGCATCAGCAAGCACCTGCTCGGATACGGACGTAGAGAGGAGAACATGACTCAAGGCTACACAGAAGAGACAAAGTCCCATTGGCCCCAGGAATGTGGGTTTGGAGCGCTCCATAGTTTTCAGCACCAGCTGACTTCCCCATTCAGAAAAGACCTACAGAATGAACTCAGAAAGCCAAGAGCACCCCAGTCCTACTCTGAGCCTAAGAGCGTTCTAAATGAATCTCTTTAGCAAAATCTGCTATAAAACCAGTAAAGCTTCAAACTGTGGGAATATCTCCCTGTAACAGGAATAAACAGAAAACTCTTTAAGCAGCTCTCAACTAACCCAATAAACACTGAATTATTGATTTGTTTCAGCATGGGAACTGCACTAGAACAAAACCCTCTCCGTTTATTTCCTGTCTTCAGAGCAGCAATCTCACCTACTTCGTTAAGATACTGGAGGAGGGGATGTCAGGAGAGCGGACATGCAACGGCGTGCTTATGGAGACGGTCGGAGGGAGAAAAGGATGCTGAGCATCACAGGGTGCATGGGATCTCCACAGTGGAGAGGCTGGGAGAGGCCCCAGGGGGAAGAGCTGGTAGAGCACTACATGGGAGAGGCAGGGGTCATACCAAGAGTTGAAAGGTGTGTCTGATGGAGCCAGGTTTCTTAAAGACAGTGAAGAACCACTTATGCATCTTTAGAATAAGCAGTGAGGGCTGGTTCAGCATTTAAAGGCTAGGCTCACAACCAAAAATATAAGCATAAGCAGTGTACAATTAAGTTTGCAACCCACTTTTGCCCAGTGATTTAGATATACAGACACGGTTTCACTATTTTAAGAAACAAGAGAGAACACACAAGTAAAAAGCACAGAGTCAGGGAAACTCACAATCGCATGAGTGGCATTTAAAGGTGGTGACAGATGGTCCTAAAGCTCATAGAAAACAACACAGTGTGTCAACAGGAGGTGAGAGTGACAGGAGGTGAGACAGGAGGTGCAGCACTGTTGAGCTTTCAATCAAAGAGCCAAAACCACGTATTTCTTCATCTTTTGTTGCCACGTATTTCTTCATCTTTTGTTGCCCAAACATATGACGTGGCAATTTAAGACGCAGTAATAAAAGCAGAGGTTTATAAGAGGGCATCAGAGAACAAAACAGTCTGGTAATCTGGCGGGAGAGAGACACCAAATCAGATTGGCGAGCCCATGAAGGGCCCAGCATTCAAGCACACAGCAGACTGAGCAAGGCCGTTCTTCACAGCGCAAACCCCAAAGTGAGCAAAGGGGTCCATGTGGCGGGTGTGCCCTGACCAGGCCGCCTTCTGCACGCCTCAGACGCCAGAGCCAGACCCACCCCAGTTTCCTTAACCACAGATACACAGTTCACCAAAAGCAAACACTACCTGGTAAACAAAAGGGGAGGGGTGACATCTCAGAAGGGGCCTGGGACAAGGCTACCGCTTCAGGTCTCCACTCCCAGAGCATCCATCCATCGGCACAGGGCCGTGGAACCACACACTCGTGATACAGCAACTCAACCTCTCCCACAATAAAAACAGCAGTGAGAACAACCATCAGACTCAAGCGAACATGGAGGCTCCAAGCCCTAAGGAGGGCAACCTAACTGGCCTTGCACGTGATGCCGTAGGTGCTGAAAATTCACTAGTGTCCTCACTCACTATACAGGTGCCCACAGGAGCCCCTATGTCCCTGACAAACTGGAGGAGCTGGCATTTCAGGAATGCCAGTTCTATCCAGAGTGCTGTGCAGGGTTAGGCATGAAAGCATGAGAGTCCAGAGGGCACTTATATAAACAGTACAGTAGGTCAAAACAGGCTTCGGTTGTAGTCTTATTGTCTGTGGTGCTGGGGTCAAGCCCAGGCCTCACATACGCTAGGGCTGGCTGGCCGCTGAGTTATGCACCTCACCAGGCTTTTCTGATCTTGTTTAGTACATCAGACAGAGGCAACATGAAAGACTGCACCTTCCACTTCATACTGGGGCTGAAAGGACCGCACTGTGAACAGGAGACAGATCAGCTTTCCCGTGAAACTCTCCAGCTACGTCAAAGTCTGAATGATGAGCTAGTCAGCCATGGCTGAGTCGGGGAGAAACCAGAGAAATAGCAAAATACAGCCAGCAGAGATCTGAGAGTGAGCGCAATATGTAACTGTCTGGTAGCTGAACAGCTTTGCTATCTTCATGTAACTTTCTGTTTCTGCAATGATTACTCTCTGCACAGTTAAAAACACAAGAGCAGGAAAGCAATTCCTTTCTCTTCCATGTTTTAGTTTTATTTGCCAGTACTAACACCTCTGAAATCCTAAGTACATTTTTCATACAGGCAACCTCAGAATAGCTGACTGAACTATTTTTAAACGTTAACACACCAATTTAAATTAAGTAACTAAAATGCATCTCACTCTAAACTCAATAGAAAGAACTAAAGAAATGTCAGCAGTTTATTAGTAAGAGGGAGAATGTGCAGTTTGAGCCCTGGTAGTAAGTTATTAGTAACTGAGTTAAGCTAAGATTCAAATACATGACTGATAATCAATCCATTTACTGGTATGGTGTATTAGGTTATGTCAAATTCTCCCACAAAAACAAATGAGCAGAATAAGTAACACACCAGGGCTGTGACACACAAGAACATACTCAGAACTCCTGCAGTTGGGTATGGTGATTCATGTGTCACGCATGGCTGGAACAGTGGATTAGGCTACACAGCTATCTCACATCTCAAGGAAATTAAAATGTAAATTTTAGCAAAACATCCCTGTTTTCTTCTCTGTGGCACCAATAAGGCTAGCAAAATGATGTCCACAATGTAACTTAAGCAAAGCCATCTAGCACACTGAAATAAAGACTACACAAACATGAGTATTAGGATACAACTATTGCCTCTGAAAGTAACCATCTGGGAACACACACACACACACACACACACACACACACACACACACACACACACAGAGTAACAAGGTATTCAGCAAGCCAGAAGCAGTGGCCTGCCACAAAGGCAACACTAACAGCTGTGGCGGGAAACTGCTTCCTCATCCTGGATGTCTCTGCCTCTCAGCGACCACCACACACATGCAAGTGCAGGGGTACCACACTCTAAAATGTATGCTTGCTCCCTGAGAAGCCACTGTCACCCTCCATGAATGACAAGTCCTGGCAAAGTGCTGAGGAGCCCACAAAGGAAAAGACTAACAGATAACCGCCCCTGTGTATCACAGACACACTCCTTCCTGCTGTGGTGTCAAGGCTGTATTGTCAGCTGGTGGGGTTTTGGGGAAGTGCTTTGGTAATGAGGGCACAGCCCTCACCAATTTAAGGTCACTTCATGATGTCACAGGGATATGGGACAAAGAAACAGGGACTAGTTGGAAGAAATAGTTCACACCTTGAAAAAGAGACCTTGCTCCCTGGGTCTCTCCTGACCCACACCATCAGGTGAGTTTTCCTCCACACCCTTCTACCAAAGTATTCTACCTCAGCTCCAGCAGAGTAACACAAATCCAGCTGACCATGGGCCATGACCTTTGAAACAGTGAGCTGAATTAAGCTCTACAGCAGAACACAGCTCATCACAGAACTGAAACCTGAACACGTACATAAAACTTAGGGCTGGAGCAATGGCTCAGCAGGTAAGAGCACCCGCTACTCTTCCAGAGGACAAGGGTTCAGTTCTCAGCATCCACATGGTGGCTCACAACTGTCCATAAGTACAGTTCCAGGGGTTTCAATGCCCTGTTCTGGCTTCTGGAGGAACCAGGCATGCACACAGTACACATATATACATACATACAAGTGAAATACTTGTACACCCATTTAAAAAAACACTAAAAAAAGTCTTAAGCATGTTTCTAAGCTTGACCATTATACCCTTGAGTTCTAAAGTTCAGATACAATAAATGTGAACATGATCTTGTGCAAACATGTTTCTAAATCTCTTGGGAATGAAAACAAACTATCCTTTTCCATTTCAATAAAACACAAAATTCAATTGGAAGCACAGGTGGCCCAGGTCTACAGAATCAAGCTAATGCATAAAGGAGCAATCCTACACACTGGACTCCTGGCAAAAGAGCCTTCCCATCATCTTACTACCAACAGTGAATTTTTGTTAATTCTTCTAAAATAGTTTTTCCTTGGGATGGTGCCTCTCATGTTTGTTTGCACAAGCGATTGAGATACCTGCTACAGAACCCCTAGAGAGACAAAGACATACTTAACTGTGCATCACACAAAGAGAAATAAAAACCCTCACAAAACTACAGAAAGGCGTGCACACAGCCACAACTCCAGCTCACTTCCAACCATTCTAGAATTGACTTAGTATAAAGGAGGGATATGCTGATGTCAGAGAATAAAAACACAAGCTCAGTCTTTAATGTAACGGCTGTGTGCTGACAGATGTGCTCTGGGGAGTCTTGTGTTACTATCACCCTATGATAGTTCCTGGTTTTCTATTATAATCAGTATACTCTGGGTCAAAACAGCATAAAAACAATCCCATAACATCAACTGTCAGGATGACTTAGCATGTAGCCCCAGCATGCCTAGCTCAACACAACCTGAGATTTTACTGTGCTGGTGGAATTTTACAAAAAGGCAAACATGTTGACTATCCTTTACTACACATTAACTAAAAATTAAGAAATGTTTACATTCTCAAGTTCAAAATGAATTATAAATTGAGTGTTAAATGTACACCTACCTTATGATATCCATAGCTTGGTAGAGGATTTCAGACTGGTCAACGGCAATCACTTTCTTTGCCCCGGCTTTGGCGGCAAACATTGAGAGAATTCCAGTTCCACACCCAACATCTAGAACAACCTGAAAATAAAATAGCTACTATTGAAAAAGGCTTCTATTTCCAATTGCACTAAATGTTAGAGTATTTTGGGATAGGAATACCTTTTTATAAAAAGTTTAACTTTACTGATCAACTATGGTAGTTCCTATGAGCAGAAACAACATATTATGAGTTATTTTAAATTAATAATGGTACAGTTGGCCATGGTCTTCAGCAATCAGGCCAGCAATGCTAAATTAAGAGATACTTTGCACAAACTGAGCAACTCCATGGCCAGCAAAAATGTGCTTTACCCTGCTTATGGCTAAAGTCTAACTGAGGCTCAATTTGGGTAGAAACAAGCCTTTCAAGTTTGAGCAGAAGGAATTAATGGTAGATCCCATACAATTTCAAAACAGTTACAAAGGCTATTTTATAAAATGATAATGGAAGCTGCTTTCCTTTTCTCTGACGTAAATAAATAATAAAGTGAATGAATAAACTTTAACTGTAAATAGAAGCCAGTAGCATAAAGAAGGCACCTAACTGGGAATTTCTTCCATGGACTCCAAACAAATTAATTATGAGCATTTCAGAGGATGATTAAATGTCACCCAAAGTTAAATTAATTGAGCTACCATATGGCCTCCACAGGAATTTTGAGAATTGAAACAATGTTAAGAAAGAAGACAGGACGGAAGAAAAAGACCATTTAATTACAGCCACCTTAAAAAAAAAAAAACACAACCACTGTGTACTGTGGAGGTCACAGGATAACCTCAGGTGTGTCCTTGTCTTCTGCTTGTTTGGAACAACGTCTCTTTGTTATCTACTGATGCGTCCCCAGGATAGCTGCCCAGAGCCTTTGGGGGTCTTCTGGAGCTGCCTCCCTTTTGCCTGAGGGGCTCTTGGATTACAGACCTGCTTCAGCATCTAGCTTCATAGGGGTTATGGAGATCCAAATTCAGTCAGTCCTCACGCTTGCATGTGTAACCACTAAACCATCCCATCTCATAACAATACTCTGAAAAACACATCTATACTATGCCCTGTAATATGATATAGAATCTGGTGTTGTAACATGAAGTCTACTGAATATATAAAAGGGAAACATAGTAATGAAACCCAGGGGGAAATATACAATTTCATGGACTTTTAAAACAATGACATAAATATTTACATGGCCATGCCACAAAGCAACAGCCAGGTCTGCATGTGTGTGAATCTCCACACTGTCACTAACAAGTCCCACTCTAACCACTGCCTCTCCTGCACTGACACCCTGCTTCTCGTGCAAGGAACAAGGGTTACAGGCAAGAGACTAGAGTCTTTTCAGTTCTGTGTTTTGAAGACATCAGTTAACCTCCCTGTTTGAAGTAAACTTCAGACAAATTACAGGTGAAGCAGACAAGAGGCAGCCACCTCCATGGTGTTACACGATGACCTATGCGTTATCAAATGCACTTACATACATGGTCCTGCATCTTCTACAGCAACAGCAAAAGTGCAAGAGGAGATAAAAGCTGTAGACTATTTAATATTCTGAATTACAAAAAAGTATGCCCTTAATGTGCTTAAAGAAGCTAAAATGTTTCACTTAACAGTGACTTCTGAAAAACCACAAATGCCAAGCAAACTCTATCATACTGATAAAGCTACTGGCTAATGCCTCGGGCAAAGCAGCAAGGAGGTGCTCACACTAGCCTGCCATTTCCTTACCCGGGCAGACTCTCAGTGAGGGGAGCAGAATGCCACAAATGGACTCCACATAGTTTGCCATGGTGTTTTGATAAGGCAAAGGTACATGCTATGTTTGCTTGCTTGCTTGCTTGTGTGTTGTGTGTGTGTGTGTGTGTGTGTGTGTGTGTGCGCGTTGCACCTGTGTATCATTTACATGTATGCAGATTAGTACATACAAGGCCAGAGACTGACTTGGGGAGCACTACTCTATCGCTCTGCACCACCTGAGCCCAGGTCTGAAGATGCAGCTTGTCTAGCTGGCCAGCTTGCTGCAGCTCTGGTGCACCTGGACCACAGGTGGGCTGCCACAGCACTTGGTAATTACATGGATGCTGGGAACGTGAACTCCAGTTCTCCCGGCTTTGTGGCAAGTGCTTTATCACTGATTTATCTCCTCAGCTGCCCCCGCCTGCGCCCCCGCCCCACACACACACACACACACACACACACACACACCACTGTGTACGTGTTCATGAACTTAGTAAACACTCTTCCTAGTCACAAATAACTTATTTCAAAAGCCTACATCCTCTGGCAACTAGTACTTGAACCTTCTACTCCAGAGTGCGCTCAGAGAAAAACTTCTAACTCACCGCTTCAATTCCTATGGCATTCATATCACAAAGAAACGAGAAGATGCCTCAAAGAGGGTGCTCTGACAATAGCAACTGTCAACCAGAAAAGATGTGAAAATTCCGTCTGCAGGTGAGGCACACAACAGTTCCCCGCATGCCCACATCCTACAGCTGCCTCCTGCCTGGCCAGACAAGGACCTCTTCATTTCCCCTCAGCTTACTAGGTTAAGAGAGCAGCAAAGGGCTGGAAAGACGGCTCAATCCAGGTTATGAGCACTGGATTGTCTTCCAGAGGTTCAATTCCCAGCAACCACATGGTGGCTCACAACCATCTGTAATGAGATCTGCTGCCCTCTTATGGTCTGCAGGCAGACATGCGGGCAGAACACTGTATACATAGCAAATAAATCTAAAAAAAAGTGTAAAAATAAATAACAACCTGCAAATAACCAAATTAGAACTACAGTGACATTTTCATGGGGCTATCACATCTATAGGCACCTGCATGCATACAGTACACACACAGACAAGTAAGTATACACATGTACTAAACATTAAAAAGTGGGAGAAAGACAGAGATAGAGAGACAGGAAGGCAGGAAGGCAGGAAGGCAGGAAGGCAGGAAGGCAGGAAGGCAGGAAGGCAGGAAGGCAGGAAGGCAGGAAGGCAGGAAGGCAGGAAGGAAGGAAGGAAGGAAGGAAGGAAGGAAGGAAGGAAGGAAGGAAGGAAGGAAGGCAGGAAGGAAGGAAGGAAGGCAGGAAGGAAGGAAGGAAGGAAGGAAGAAGGAAGGAAAAAAGGAAGGAAAAAAGGAAGGAAGGAAAAAAGGAAGGAAGAAAAAAGGAAACAGAAAAGCCATTCCAGATATGTCCCAGTGTGAAACCAAAGCAACTCTCACAATGAAGGCCTCCACTCTCTGTTCCTCCAAGACAAGACAGAAAGCCCAGGAAATAACCTACAGGAGCTTGAAGATGGAGAACTAGAAACACATGCATGCCCGAAAGATAGAGTCTAGAAGGAAGGATGATGGAGGGAAAACTCCAGGAAAGGTATTTAGATGGCAGAACTGACAGCTCCTGACTAAACTAGCTGGGTAACTTCTAATAAAGACGAACAGCAAGCTGGGCGTTGGTGGCTCACACCTTTAATCCCAGCACTCGGGAGGCAGAGGCAGGCGGATCTCTGTGAGTTTGAGGCCAGCCTGGTCTACAAGAGCTAGTTCCAGGACAGCTTCCAAAGCCACAGAGAAACCCTGTCTCGAAAAACCAAAAACAAACAAAAAAAAAAAGATGAACAGTAACATGATGCTTCAGGCAACCATGCCAAGGTAGAAAGGGAAGGAAAGGACAAAGTGGAGAAGAAAATGTGAGAACTTGTGAGAAGGACTCCTTCACTCACTCACACACACACACACACACACACACACAAACATACATACACATACATGGACATACACACACAAAGAAACATGCACTCGGACATCTACAAGCTCATATGTGCACACACCCATACACAAAGAGAGACTGATACACACATACAGCACATGATCATCTCTGAAATAAACAACATAGCTGTCAAGACGGTTCAGCAGATAAAGTCGCCTGCAACCAAGCTTGGGTTTGATCCCTGGGAACCACATCGTAGAAGGAGAGAATAGACTCTGGCAGAGAAAACAACAGACTTGAGAGATTAGTACATAACACCATCTGTGCTCCATGCACACACACGCCGGTGAGCAGACACAGACACACACACACACACAGACACACACATCACACAGAGACACCCACAGACACAGACACACACACACAGAGACACAGAGACACACACACACACACACACACACACACACACACAGGACCGGTGAGATGGCTCAGCAGATAAGGGCACTGCTTGCTGCCAGGCCTGACAACCTAGAACCTATTGTGTCAGGACAGAACCATCCTCCGGCCACCACATGCACTCTGGTACACATATGCCCACCCCACCACACACAATACAGAAACGCAAGAAAAAGAGAGAAAGAGTAAGTAAAACACAATAAAGTTCTTAAATAAGTTAGACAATATTGAAAACTGATTCCAAGATATTTCGTAAAGCAATAAATTTAAAGGACTAAACCCTACAGAAAAAATTTGAGCTTTTATAATATTGCACTCTAGTCAACATTATGAATTTTTAACTATATAACACAGTGAAATAATAATTAAGAGTATGCTTTGCCATGGGGTATAACTTGTACATTCCAAGCACACAATCACCATAAATCAAAAACTATAGACTAATTGGATCGGTGAAGTTTAACCAGGCTCTCTTCCTGTAATGAATGACTTTCAGCTTTACAAAAGAACCCTGAATGGCAGCCCCATCAGCATCTTGGACATCAGAATGCAGCACCACAAGCCACGCATCACAGGTTCCTGGGAAGCCCAGCCTGAGTCAATCATCCAGGACTTACCGTTCAACAACACTCACTCACCTTATCTTTGAAGATGTGTGGATTTCCGTATATGAAATCTCTGTAGCTTTCTGTGCGGACTTTGTCCTAGGATAGAGAGCAATGCACTGTGTTCACAGGAACAGTCTGAGCAAATGATTCTTCTATGAACTTATGGTTACTGTATTACACACTGTTAGCTTCCACAGTTACCTTCTGCCTAGAAAACTGTGCTATTTAAATTTTTTCTTTCTAAAAGAAAACAATAAAGAACAAAAATAGCAGCAACACATAAAAGTTTTTATCTAAAAAGTAACAGTGAAAGTCAGATCTGCAATTAGTTTGAAATGAGCGTGTCTTTCTCTTTCCACGCATGGTCACGGTCAGACACAAATGATCATAAGTACTAGAGAAGGCACCCTTTAAGCTGAGCTTACTCCCTATACTGAAGCTACATGAAAATAAGGAACAGAAAAAAACAAAACAATCCACAGCAATGAGGATTTTCTAAGAAAGCTAAATCAGCATCTGATTTATAGGACTATTTTGTTTCTAGAAATGTCTGCAGTAGGAAATGGATGCTTCAAAGCCTGTAGGCTTAGAAGGAAATCATAGGAGCCCCGGTACACATTACCAGACTCCACGCTCAGGAATCTCCCATAAGCCCAGGCCTGTGGCAACCTCACACTCCTGCTGGCTGGTGACTAAGCTGCACCCCTAAATCAGACACACACAGGCTCCAGATGAAGTAGGGGAGAGCTCTGCAGCCAGTAAGGAAAACTGAGTATGGTCAAAACAGGTGCCACCAAGGAGAAATTCTAGCTTTGGGTTTCACAGAAAAAATAAAAACAGTCTGCTGGACAGTAATAGCACATGACTTAATATCAGCATTCTGGAAGCAGAGGCAGGTGGATCTCTGTGAGTTTGAAGCCAGTCTACAGATCAAGTTCCAGGACAGTCAGGGCTACACAGAGAAACCCTGTCTCAAAAATAAGTCAGTTAATTAATTAACTCTGTTACCTTACTTTGAAGGATTCAGCCAAATGAGAACTGAGAACACTTCAGAGAAGCAACTCAATCTGTCCTGAGCCCACTCAAACTTGTTATCTTTCCCTAAATAATGCACACACAGTGACCAGTGACCTGTTTGCCCATCTCCCCACAAAATAAACAGGAAACGCAACAGAGACAATTCCTCCAAAATCTTTCCAACAGGCATCCTCACATATTAATTTCCTCAGGGTGGTGGTGGTGTACGCTTTTAATCCCTGCACTCAGAGGCAGGCAGATCTCTGTGAGTTTGAGGCCCAGCCTACTCTACTGGTCTACAGAGCAGAGTTACAGAACAAACTCTAAAAGCTACAGGGAAACACTGTCTCGAGAAAAAAAAAAAACCAATTGCCTGTAAGTCAATTCCCTCTCTTTTGGGAGGTGGGGGCAGTGCTGGGTATGGGGCAAATCAAAGGGGGGAAAGCGTGGGCAGGGTTATACTTCATTGTATATGCATGCATGCATACACACACACGCGCACACACACACACACACACGCACACACACACGGCACACACACACACACAAGAAATTCTCAAGAATAAAGAAAAACTTATAAATAAAAATAAGATGCTCCTTTAAATGCGCAGCATTTTGTACATTTTCTACTGAAACAACAGAACCCAGAGTGAACATCAGTCAGAGGTGCAACAGCCTGGAAGGTTCCCAGCAATCACCCTGCCTCTCCACCCTCCAACTTGATCAACGGCATCCCAACTGCAGTCCTAACGGCACTGCAACCTGGCTGAGCTCTGCTCCTCCCCGTGGCCTCTCCCGTCATCTGCACTGTTCACGAGCTCGTTACACACAGCCTCGGCTGAATAGCTGATCTTTTGCTAGAAAACCCCACAATCATGAATAGGAAAGCTACTAAAGAACTTGCCTTAAATACCATTTCCAAGCCAGGATGGTGGTGCAGGCCTGCAACCCTGCAGCATGTAGCAGCAAGGTCAAGAGTTCAAGGTCATCCTTGGCTACATAGAGTCTCAGGCCACCCTAAGCTACATGAGACTCTGTCTCAAACAAACAAAACAACAATGAAAACCCTCAAAACAGAGCAAATGCTCTGAAGATTTACTCCAACAAAAGACTAACATGAGTGCAACATATAATTTGGAAGGTGTCTTTCACATCAGCCAGAAGCAAAGGAACAAAATCAGAGCTCTGATACACTGGAGCCATGTGTGGAGAGGAAAGAGCTCAGCTCCACCCCTCAAAACAAACTGCTGCAGAAGAGCCTTAAGCCACACGCTGGAAGTTTACAGCTCCAGGTGCATACGAAGTGGTACACAAAGCCTAGGCCAGCTGCAGGTGCCAGGAGACATCAGCACCCCCACTTCACGCTATTAAACAGCACGGTGACCAGCACGCCTGCACACCCAGACAGCGACGGCCATAGCAAACACAGGCAGGCTGGGGAGCAGCTCAGACATGCATTACAGCCAGCAGCCCTTCTTGAAAGGCCCAGAGCAGCAAGGGCTATCTAAAGTTCATGTAAGCCGCACACCTGTCACCTGTGTCTTTAAACCTGAAACAGTTACATTCATCTAAGCCCTGGAAATGAGATTGCAATTACGATAAAACGTCTGCAACCAAACAAGAGAACCCACCAAATCGGTCTATAAAGTACCTTACACTAAGTGCTTCCCAATCTGAAATTACTTGTCGGAACTGAGTAGGTTTTCCGGAGCAAGACAACACTCAACAGTTTATTTGCACTGAGAGCTGTTCTGGTGAAAAACTGAACTCGAGCCTGCTCCAAGGCATAACTACTTCTTATCGTAGCCGATATCAAACCTATCAACATCTCCAAGAGCAATCCTGTACCACAGAAATGGAAACTGAGTCAGAGACAGTGCCTAAGTGATCTCTAAAGGTAAACAGCCTATCAAGACTTGCATGTCACAGTTGTCTAGTCGCCAACACACAGGCACAAGAGTCCAAGCAGAGCTCTGTTTTATGCAAAGCAGCCTTCTCGGATCACTGCAGTTAGGACCACTTCTATCCACAGGGACTTTCAGGGACCATGACCTGTCTGGAAAAGGCTACACTAGTTCCACACCAAAGATACAAAGGGTATGAAGCACGAAGTTGACCAAGATCTAAAACAGAAAACATTGTACCCCAAATATGAAGCATGCTGCTTCAGGATATTTGATCACAGTGTGAAACTCTGAGACTGTGTTAATAAAATTAACCTTGAATCAGGGGCAGAGCCAGCAACTAGTTGGTTAGCCACAGAGAATGCAGAGAAGCCAGGGAGACTGACAGAGGAGGCACAGGCAGGAGCAGAGAGAGACTTAGCGATTTACAGCCTTTTCTGGTCTGGGATATGTGGAGAGAGACGCACTTGCTGGGTCTCCAGGGGAAGGTCAGCTGGTTGCTCTTCCTACGTTCTTTGATTTATCAGGCTTTTACCTCAATAGCTGACTTCCAAATCTTTGACAAACCAACAACTTAGATAAAAACAAGAACATGCCGATTTTTTACACGATTACTCTCATTTATATGACACTGTCTGTAATCACATACTGTCTGTAGTGCTATGCCATCATTACCCAGGTGACAGCAAGGTATTAATGGCATGACACTGCTTTAAAGTTCTTGGGCTTCCTTTAAATAGGATAATCTTTGGAGTGAGGCTTTAGGAAGGATTTTTTATTGATTAATTTTAGGAAAAGAGAAAGTAACATCTGAAATTCCTGAAGATAAACACCTAAAATTTTTACAATCTAAAATTAGCTCTATTTCATGATATCTTTAATATTTGATAAAAATGTACTGTCAGTAAGTAAAGTTAGAAACTACTTCTATCTTATATAGACATTACAACTATGACTATCAAAACTGAACAGATTCAAATACCAGGTCTGACCACATCAGGAAACATTTCTGTATTATCAGTGATTCTGAGAGCTGTAAGTCAAGTCACCATAAACACTGTGAAAACTTTTTTTTTTTTTTGGTGTTTTGAGACAGGGTTTCTCTATGGCTTTGGAGGCTGTCCTGGAACTAGCTCTTATAGACTAGGCTGGTCTCGAACTCATAGAGACCCTCCTGCCTCTGCCTCCCAAGTGCTGGGATTAAGGCGTGCGTCACCACCGGCTTGTGAAAACTATTTTAAATTGAACTTTATAAGACAGTTGCTTGCCTAGACCAAGTCAGCACTGCTATTTTTCCATGTTAAAAAAACAACCATGTCGCCGGGCGTTGGTGGCGCACGCCTTTAATCCCAGCACTCGGGAGGCAGAGGCAGGCGGATCTCTGTGAGTTCGAGGCCAGCCTGGTCTACAAAGTGAGTTCCAGGACAGCCTCCAAAGCTACAGAGAACCCTGTCTCGAAAAACCAAAAAAAAAAAAAAAACCAAAAAAAAAAACAACCATGTCATTTAATTCTTACTTAACACGGTAGATGCTCCTGAGAAGACCAGAACCAAGCAGTTGTTTTTCCTAATGTTCAATTTCAAGGACAAGTGGGTTCATAAAAAAAAAAAAGATGAATACTGACTTAAATAGGATTCACAGGGACTTGCCACCTCTGTAATCTTTTCATCTAAGGAGCAGTCATCTAAGCACCAGAGGAACACACACACACACACACACACACACACACACACACACACACACACACACACACACACGCACACATTAAGGCCTATTCTGCAGGGCTCTCCCTTGGCAGATTTGATGCACATGAACTCTGTCCAACCTTTAGCATTTCTTCATGTATCCCGTAATGCCCGTAGGAGCTGAAGTAGACGCCATCCTCATCCTCCTGCAGGTCTGCAATGGCTGTCGTGGAGGAACAGGTTCTGACATCTACGTTCATCACAAAGTCCTGAGCAAATTGTCTGTAATCAATTTGAAACACACCCCTGAGACAGGTTTACTGGACCATGAGAAAAAGCAAGGCTGGAGGGTGAGGAAAGGGAGGAGGAGGGGGACAGTGTGACCAGCATCTTAAATTCTTTTCTAGCTGAAGCCCTGACAGCGCCCTCTGCTGGACCTAAAGCAGTATCTGGGTAACCTGTCAATGCACTTGCTTTATCAAATGTATTTTTCCTACTGTTCTAAAAACCCTCTTTAGCACCTAAACCAGCAGAGCCTATTTCAACTCTGAATGGTCTGGAAACGCTGAGCAGGAAGGAGACCCATGTTAGCTGACCCCACGTGCCCCAGTTCTCACACTCAGGTGATGACACACTAGCGACCTCCAAGGTACGCAAGAGCGAGGACAAAAGGGTAGAAAAGTTGAGCTGGTGACAGGTGGCTAAGTTCCCAAGCATACCAGTCAGAAACAAGGACTGGGACTTGGATGGGCTCTGCGCTCCCTGGCACCAGACATTCTGGCCAGCCATCAAATAGGAAGTCAGGTACTAGCAACCTGCTTACAGACCCGGAAGGTAGAAGCTGGGAAGTGGGCATGCCTGTGCCCACCTCGAGACTAACAAGTCCCCCAGGAGATGCAAGACTCCTGGGCAATGAGAACTAGCAGGGAAAAACTGCACCCTCCTCTATGATTCTCTGGTCAAATTCCACACTACTGTCACATTTTAATTTTTAAAAAAATGAAATTTCAACACTGTATTTTCCCAACACCTAAGAAACAATATTAATTCTTCCATTTCTAAAAATCTAGGGTAGGCCAATCAAAGAGGAGAAACCAACCAGAAACAAGAAACTTGAAAGGCAGGAAATATCAAAAACAAATATTCAAGAGGAAACTAGAACAGCCACATATGCAAATTATGAAGCACGCACAAGTGCACAAAAATGTGATTCTGGAGTAGTCTATATTCCCATGCTATGGAATGCTGTGTGCCTTTAATACTCCTGAAGTAAGTACGTACACTGAGTGTCTAGCACCCCAAGTGCTCTTGCCATCAACCCCACTACACCTAAGGCGGGGTTTGCTTGGACAGGTAGTTACTTCATTTTCTGCAGATCCTCATGTACTCGAGCCAAGGCGGCCTCAGCAGACAGCGCCCGCGCCTCCATGAGCTTCAACTTCTCAACAACCGATGTATTTTCACTCAGTCCATTGGGGTATGAGGAGGGAGTCAACATTGGCTCATAAAGATCTTCTACATCTAGAAGGTGAGTGGACATCGCTATCAGACCACCTCACGGCAGCACAGCGGGGACAAGCAGGTTGGGAACAAATGGCCAAGTAAGAAAAAATATCAAAAGCACTTTTCCCACACTTGACACCCAAGCTCTCTGATTTGATCTCAGGGAGTATGATAGTCTGCTTTCCATTAGCTAGCTAAACTGAATGGTCATGCATGGAAACACTGAACCAAAAGTGTGTGTGTGGGGGGGTCCACTGTTTACATCTCATCTCACTCTCAAAAACAACCCTGAAATGCAAACAGTTATTCCTACTTCAGACACGGGGAAAGTAAATTTCATAAAAGTCAAGTGGCCAACTCAAAAGTCATACAGCTATCTATTGGAGAAGAGGAAACTCCACACCTGCCTTATGCCTAGGTTCTTGACCCTAACTAAGCCACCACCCGGCCTGTGCCCTTCGTCCCTGAGTGGCAGACATCACTCGAAGGTACACAGGTGATCTTGCTGGGTGCATCAAGAATGAGCCTAGAGGGCAGTGTGTGAAGGGAGCACACAGATACCCCAGGGCAAGGGCAAAATCTCACGCAGACGTGCACTTAAAACAGACCCTACAGAGGCAGAGAGTTGTGCCTCCACATACCTCGGGCCGTAAGCTTGCTTCAGACGAATACATTCAGGACTTCTCACGAACGTGGCTACAGCTGATTCCTTGGTGTACATGTGTAATGTGCCGATACAGCAGAGAACACTGTTATGTTCTCATCACACATAAAAATGGTGGGTAAATGTTGGCTGATAATGTGCTTGACTGCGACAGCCTTTCCATAATGTCTGTATTCACAGACAGATCACAACCTTGCACACCGAAGGTTACACTTAATCACACCTTCATCAATGAGGAAGACAGGTCATTCCTTAAGGACAGAGTATAGGTAAGGACTTCTAGATACCCAAAACCTTCCCATCCCAGGCAAGACACTAATACTTTCTACTGATATTATAATGCAGCCAAAATTTTAGGTAAAAAAATCCATATCTTGTTGGGAAGTGGTGGTGAATGCTTTTAATCCCAGCACTTGGGAGGCAGAGGTAGGTGAATACTATGAGTTCAAGGCCAGCCTGGGTCTACAGAGTGAGCTCCAGGACAACCAGGACTACACAGAGAAACCCTGTCTTGAAAAACAAAACTAAACAAAAACAATCTTGATTTAATCTTAATTTCAAATATAGAAATAACCCTGCAGACAGAGGTGGAACCAGTGAGTCTTAAGAAACTCTAGAATCATCACATTTCATTAACTTTCAGGTCTACCTAAAGCAACAAACACTAGTGACACTGTCCTCTTCCACGAAGGACTGGGGACAGTACTCAGCCCCCATTTGGGTTTCTGCTGTGATACTTATGAAGACACTTCTTCAGGGTTGGGGTAACCAGACACACTGCTTCTCCAGGAGACTAGAGCCCAAGCTGAACCCCGACACACAGAGCACCTCGTCACTGCGGCCACTCACAGACCACTCAGTGCCCAGCTGGTGCACTCTTCAGAAAGCAGCAGAGCCTTCAGGAGGTAGAGCCCACTACAGGAAGCGGGCTATCGGGGGATGACAGTAAGCTTTAAGTTTTATTATTTCTATTATGTGTACGTGTACCTGCTAGTCTGTCTGTACATCATACATGCAGGTGCTCACACAGGCCAAAAGAGGGCGTTGTATCCCTTGGAACTGGAGTTACGTTGGTTGTGACCTGCCATGTGGGTTCTGGGAACCAAAGGGACAGTGTATGCTCTTAACCTCTGTGCCATCTCTCTGACCCCACCCTAAGCCCCATCTCCTGTCCAGTGTGGCCAGCTGCCCATGCAATGCCTTCCCCACCAGTGTGGGATGATCCTCTTAAATGGTCATCCAGAATAAGCTGTTCCTCCCTCCAACTGCATCTTTTGAGTATCTGGTCACATCAACCACAAAACCCACACAAATTCTTACTTTGTATTTCCTTTCCAAATTCAAGCTGTTTGGCAAACCTGGTTTTACTTCGGCTAAGATAAAAATTAGTCATAATTTAATGGTACTATGCAGCACCGTTCAGTGATGTTAGTCTTATAAACTGAAGGAAACGAGAAGCAGTAAACAGTAGCCGTCCTGGAGGGCGCAGCCCTACTGCATGAAGCAGTGGGCTCTGTCAGTTACTCCACAGCATGCACAGAGATGCCTGTTCTCTTTAAGCATATTTGCTCCAAGTGTGGTTGCCCACAATTTACTCAGCCACTCTCTTTTGAGGGGGCTTTTAGTTCCTTTCCATATTCTGAAATAAGCTACAATGCTGCAATAAATAACTGTGCATGTCTATTTGGTATGAGAGAGCCAATCTATTAACACAATGATTGGGGGTACAGTCTTGTTGAGGCCGGCAATGCTATGGCTTTGGGGTCAAACCTAGGATATGACAGGCAAAGCACTCATCAGCTCAGCTGCATCCCAGACCTGTGACTCATTCTTTCTGTGAAAACTGGCAGCCTGCTGAGGTCCTTGGAGATGAAGCCGCTATGTGTGGAGAGTAATTCTATAGTGGATGTCTGACACTGAGCCATCTATGACCCATGTTTTCCTCGTCATACTGCTTTCTATCATAAAGTTTAATCAACAAACAAGACACAGAAATCAACTGACAGCAATTAGCGACAAATATAACAAGATGCCATGAATACAGTCTTCTGGAAGGACTTCTTGATATGAGCACTGTGGTACTCCAACAGTCAATCCCATAAGTACAGCTGAGGAGTGGGGAGCACACACAGTGTGGCCGCACTGAACAAAACCGGGAAGAGCAGGCCAGGAAGGAAGGGCGCGAGCTGGCTGGCACAAGACCTCATCGTGCCTCCCAGACCATCAGTCAACTTAACACTTACAAACTGGTTATTTCAGAATTGTTTATCGACCAGGTAAAACAAAGGAAAGGAAAAAATCTCTTGGGGGGCATGGCTGGGAGGACAACGTAGGTCCATTTTCACAAAGCACTTCGCTTTCATTTGGTGTAACGAATGGCCTGGGGCTGGCCAGGATGGATAAGGGAGATTCACCTTACCAAACTGAAGCAAAAGGTCATCTTCCAGCACAGGCTTCAGGTACTCATCTTTCTCCCAGGGCACAGGGTTGTATATGGAATTCATATACTCCACCGTAGGATTCTGGACACGAAGTTAAAGCACACTGTATTCACTGAATGTAATGACAAAGCTCTCTAAAAAGAACTTAAGCAAAAATCAAAACAAACAAACAAACAAACAAAAAGCCTCAATAGCACATAAGACTGCTACCTGTGTGTTTACCTGCCATTTTAAATGGCTGGAGTATATTCTCATGTTGTCTGGTGCAGGGAAAGTGACCCTAGCTCAAACATTCATTTAAACAGGACAGAAAATAAAATGTTTGAAAAAAAATTAAACAATGTAGGAGAGATGGCTCAGAGGTTAAAAGCAGTGGCTGTTCTTCTTGCAGAGGACTTGGGTTCGATTCCCAGCACCCACACAATGGGTCACAGCCATCTGTAAGTAAAGTTCCAGAGAACCCAACATCCTCCTCTTGTGGCTCCTCCAGGCACCAGGAATGCAAGCAGGACACTCATAAACAGAAAATAAAATAGAAATTTTAAAAGGAAGAATAAACTGTGAAAACATAAAACAAAGAAGTGCATCTAATGTACTTGGAGTCAGACTAGAAACCACTTGGTTATACAGAAATACTGACAGTTTCCTCTTACCTGACAAGTGCTTTCTTCACAGTACTGACTGAACACAGTTAAACATGACAGCAATAAGCAGGGATGCCCCCTGGAACTTTACCCTGTACTCTTTCCTCACGTCTACAACTCCCACAATATGAAAAATGCCAAATGAAACAGCCGCTCACGATCAATTAAATGATCAGCACAGTGGCAATGCAGCCTCGGCAAATGTCTTAAATTCCTGTATAAAATCATTAAGTTTCCAACTTACCTTAAGTCTAATAAAATTTATTAGTTTAATGTATCCATAAAATTCAAGTCCTAAATGGAAGAAAAGACAATTCACTGATTTTAATATGCTTGTTTTAGCTGTCTGTAAACGCTCCTCCAATGAGGTATCTGTGACTTCCATCTGGAATTTTGCATTAAGAATTAGAAACTGTAATTTTGATATTTGTAAACATTTTATCTGAGAAACAGCCATATTTAACAAGTTTCCAAGTGCTTCCCTTGCATTTTCTTTTTTTTTTTTTTTTTGAGACAGGGTTTCTCTGTATTGTTTTGGAGGCTGTCCTGGAACTCGCTCGGTAGACCAGGCTGGCCTCGAACGCACAGAGATCCACCTGCCTCTGCCTCCCGAGTGCTGGGATTAAAGGCGCCCGGCTTGCATCCTCTTAATCCTGATGTGTGATGTGGGAGTATGGGGTGTGTGTCGGGGAGAGGGTGGTAGGTGTGTGTGGTACCACCTTTGTGAGTCCTAGAGAACAAACTCAGGCTGCCAGGCTTGTGAGGCTAAACGGGTGAGCGCAACAAGCATCAGGCCGGGGATTTGAATCCCCAGACACCACATGAAACACCAGGCGGCGTGCCGGCCTCTTACAAGGTTAAGGCTTGGGAGGCAGGGACCAGCGGGGTCAGCAAGCTAAGGGTTCAAGTGCGAGGCCCTGCTCAGTCCAGGCAGTGAAGCACAACTGAGAAAATCACCTGACACTCACTTTGGAGAAGCACCCACAAGGGAAACTGAAGGGTCTGCGAAATTACAAAATTTGAGCCTCAACTTCACAAGCAGATTTGTCTTTATTCTGAGAGATACTCACCATGTTTATGGACCATACTACCAATATTAAACTGATGCTCCAACTTACAGTGTGAAAATGTTTCCTCGGCAGACGAGAACAACCTGAAGAGACAAGCAGTCATCCCCTGGGACGGTCTGCGGGGGCAGTCAAAATACTAACCGTCCCTCCCCACCTCCCCCATCACCCAGAGGGTTCCGGGTAACACAGCTTTCTCTGATACATGCTGTGTCTCTCAAGCCACGAGAGTCCCCTACTTTTAGACACAAAGCATTCCCAGAGTGCTGGAATTCGAGCGACCTTGGCTGTCCCACAGCACCTGCATTATGTCATGAAGAGCAACACTGAAGGCCACGAAAATACAGCAGACGCTGCAGTCCCCTTCTGTCTGCCTGGCACACGGGTAACCCTCCACAGACGTCTGACAAGACAGCTCATTTGGGTTGTCGAGGGCTCATCCCTGATCTACGTGTGGAATTGTGGGGTGTTTGTGTTTGTTTGTTTGTTTGTTTGTTTTTTGGTATGAGATGAGGTCTAGCTAGGTGGCTCAGGCTTGGCTGGGATTCGTGGCCATTCTCCTGTCCCAGCCTCCAGAGTGATGGTATTAAGGATCTGTGTGTGTGTGTGTGTGTGTGTGTGTGTTGGAGTTGGGGTGGGGGTTGCCTGGGCTGCAGAGACAAACTGTGTGTGTGTGTGTGTGTGTGTGTGTGTGTGTGTGTGTGTGTGTGTGGGGTGGGGGTTGCCTGTGCTGCAGAGATAAACCCAATATGTGTGTTGGAGTTGGGGTGGGGGTTGCCTGGGCTGCAGAGACAAACTGTGTGTGTGTGTGTGTGTGTGTGTGTGTGTGTGTGTGTGTGTGTTGGTTGGGGTGGGGGTTGCAGAGACAAACTGTGTGTGTGTGTGTGTGTGTTGGTTGGGGTGGGGTTGCCTGGGCTGCAGAGACAAACTGTGTGTGTGTGTGTGTGTGTGTGTGTGTTGGTTGGGGTGGGGGTTGCAGAGACAAACTGTGTGTGTGTGTGTGTGTGTGTGTGTGTGTGTTGGTTGGGGTGGGGGTTGCCTGCGCAGCAGAGACAAACCCAGCGCAGCTCCCGGCTCCGCCCCGCCCCCCGGGCCACGTGAGCGGTCCCTGTCAATCAGCAGCCGCGCCATGTGCTAGCCAGTTCCACGCGGCGCGCTTTCCACGCGGGCACGAACCTGTCACAGAACAGGCAGGGCGTGTGCTGCCGGCCGTGCGCGGGCTCGGCGTCCTCGTCCTCCCAGCCGGCGTCGTCCCCGCTGTCCGACAGCTCCGGGGGCTCCGGCCCCAGGTCGGCGGCGCCTTGGCCTGCGGGGCACACTTGGTCAGCACCGGGACCCGCCCGCCCACGCCCCGCCGCCCACGCGAGGGGGGACCCACCGTTCCCCGCCGCCAGCGAACACATGGCCGCCCACCAAGGCGCAAGCACGCGCGGCACCGGAGCCAGGAGCGAGCGCGGGCGCGCGGTAGCCAAGAAGCAACCGAGACGCCAGTTGTGCGCCGGCCCGAGAGCGCTTCCGGGTCACGTGGGTCGCGGGCGCATGCGCAGCAGCGAGGGCGCGCGAGAGAGTTGCCGCAGCGCCCCCTGGCGTCGGGGGTGGCCAGTGCAGGCTAGACTCGGAACGCCGGGTCCGTTTTCTAGAAGAAAGGCTCCACGGGGAGGAAGAGCCTTTCTGCCCGACAGGTAGATGTGCACTGTTGATGTCAAATGGAGCCAAGCCCCAACCGTACTAGGGGGTGCTAACAAGTGGGAAAGTGAGAACATGAGCTCCACAGCCCACTCTAGTGTGAGCCCTATCTCAGCCACCCCTGCCTTCTCTTGGCCTCAAGTTTCCTGACTGGTAAAACACGATCGTGACTGCGGTAGCCTCATGACTGCAGTAGCCTGAAGGTTATGGAAAGGGTCACATGTCACGTGCGTGAAATGTTTAGGCATTATCTTTCTCCCACACCATGGGAACGGGTGGACTGCTTGACACGTGCCAGCAAAATGATGCTGTCTGCCTTGGTGATTCGGGTGACACCCGCTTCTCAGGCTGCCTCCTCCCTGATATTCCTAGTGTATCTACCCGTAGGGTTCCCTCAGACAGGTGGCAGCAGTAATTCTGGGTAGGTGGAGCCTCCAAGCTGCAGTCTGAGGCGGGACTATGCATCCGTCGGCGCGTTTGAGGACATGGCCCAGCTAGAGCTGCTTAATGCTTGCCCTGGGCTGCCCACCACGCACACCCCTGAGCCTGCATGCTGAGGACCTCTGAAGCTCTCCAGTGGGCGGTCCCTCCCTTCTCTGTTCCACCACCAAGACTTCGCCGCCGTTTACTTTTTTAATAGTTTTACTGAGAATTTCATACGAAGTATTTTGATCCTATCCCTCGTATTCCTCCCCTTAACTCCTCTCAGGTCTACCCACCCCCATGTCCCTACCCCTCACCTTTGCATCCTCTTTAAAAAGTAATTAACATGGGTTCTGGGGTCCTTATCCTCTGGGTATGGGGAAATCGACTGGAGAGCAGTCAAACCTACCAGAAGCCACATCCTTAAAGAAAATGCCCTCTCCGTCTCCCATGGCTCCTCAGTTGGGAGTGGGCGCTCGTGAATCCCCACACCCTCCTTGTTGGAATGTTGGCTGGCTTCATCTTGTACAGGCACCATAGCTGCGGAGCTGGAGTGCAGAGGTCCTACCCTGTCTAGAAGATGCCGTTCCTCTGCAGTCCTCCCTGATGTTCTGTCTTCCACAATCTCTAAAAACGGGTTGTGTTATTCCAGGCACAGCCTGCGTCTTTCTTACTGCTGCTGTGTATGTCCTTACCTTCCCCATCTCCTCTCCCTCCCCTTCTGCTCCTCTGTTCCCCCTTTCCCGTGGACCACACTCCGGTGACTCACAGAAGAGCATAGAGCCCACCAAGTGTTACCTTCTGAAGCACCCTGACATTCTAGGACATCGCCGGAAATAATCTGCTGGGCCCCCTTGGCTAGTAGACTGCCCACTAATTTATCACCAACTTGATAAGCACTTGTTGAATAAATTAATGAATGTATGCCCTTTCTGTACCCAGGCCCACCCAACTTTCCTTGCATAAACTCCTCTCTCCAGAAAGGCTCATTTTTTTCTCCGTTGAAGGAACCCAGTGAATCACAGTGATGCCCAGATCTTGACAGTGACAGTAATGCCAGCCTGGAGTTTACTGGGCCAGAAACTTCTGTGCAGCTGACATCTCTCTCATCACGGTGCAGGGCTTGGGCATCGGCTACTTTTTCTGTTCCAAACGCAACATGGATCCTTCTAACATTGCTCTACTGTTACAGAGATCTGAGTGTGGGTTCTCTCCTTCATGTTTGATGTGCAGAAATAGTAGAGAGAAACTGGCCATGGAGTCTGGTCGCCTTCAGAGCCTGCAAAGCTCAGCATATTTTTTTAAAGATTTATTTGTTTATTATGTAAACAGCATTCCATAGTGGGGCGTTGGTAGCGCACGCCTTTAATCCTAGCACTCGGGAGGCAGAGGCAGGCAGATCTCTGTGAGTTCAAGGCCAGCCTGGTCTACAGAGTGAGTTCGAGGCCAGCCTCCAAAGCCACAGAGAAACCTTGTCTTGAAAAACCAAAAAAAAAAAAAAAAAAAACAGCACTCCATGTATGCCTGCATTACAGGAGAGGGCATCAGGTCCCACTACAGATGGTTGTGAGCCACCATGTGGATGCTGGGAATTGAACTCAGGACCTTTGGAAGAACAGCCAGTGCTCTTAACCCCTGAGCCATTTCTCCAAGCCCCCAGCATATTCTTATGGGTACCCCCAAAGGCTGCTTTATTTCTCGGGGCCCAACAACTGTTATGATGGAAACCTGTTCAGGCTCTTCCAAGCCCAGCCCAAGGGAACCCCCACTGACAGGAAGTAAACTTCTAATTTTGAGACAGGGTTTTGCTGTATAGTCCAGGCTGACGTCGAACCGTGGTCCTCCCGCCTCAGCCTCCCTGGTGCTAGGATTACAGGCATGCATCCAGCTCTGTCTCCTTGTAGCAGACAGACTTATCAGCGCCCACCAGAACTTGGGGTGTAATTGGGACAGTAGACTCAGTCACTGGCGTCAAGCGACTTGGCTCCCTGGCACAGAAGTTAAGGTGCACCTGCCACTCCATGACGGAACTGGCACCGAGTGCTCCTCTGGGCACTGACCCTTCTCTCTGTTTTCCTTCCCTGCCTGTTTAAAGTGTATCAGCTCAGGCTGGGAACATAGCTCAGTTGGTAGAGTGCTTGCCTGGCATGCATGAAGCTCAGTCCAGCACCACAGAAACGAGGCATGATGGGGCACACCTGTAAACCCATCACTTGGGAGATGGAGGCTGGATTATCAGAAGTTCAAGCTCATCCTGAACTACTGATTAAATTTGAGGCCAGCCTGGGCTACCCAAGTCCCTGTCACAAAACAAAGCAATAGAAAAGCGTACCACACTGAGTCTTTCAGTTTGGTGCCAGAGGACTTTTTTTTTTTTTTTTGGTTTTTCGAGACAGGGTTTCTCTGTATTGTTTTGGAGACTGTCCTGGAACTCGCTCGGTAGACCAGGCTGGCCTCGAACGCACAGAGATCCACCTGCCTCTGCCTCCCAAGTGCTGGGATTAAAGCGTGCACCACCAACGCCCAGCCTGCCAGAGGACTTTAGATTAACCACTGTTTGCAGTTAATTGTAGTGCCCCTGGACCAATGGAAAAACCCAAGAATTTAAGTTTTATACATCCACAATGTCCTAAATTAACTGGAACTCTCTAGAAATATATGAACAATGGGAACTTGTATAGAGTGGTTTAAAAAAAAAAACAAACCAGCTTCAGGGCACTGGGTAGATGGCTCTGTGGTTAGGAGCACTCCTACATAGGTGGATCTGCAAGTCTAGGTCCAGGGTGTCTGATGCCAGCTTCTGGCCTCTGAGGGAACACACACATGGCAGACACACAAACGAAAAATAAATACAGGCCATGGGATCAGGCTGAGTGGGGTTAATCTCACTCGGCCCTGCCATTCCCTAGCTTTAAGCTTTTCAGCTCTAGACCAGTGAGCAAGGTGCTAAACCATTGTGTGCCCCAGATTCCCCATGTGCAATATGAGGATGAGAACAGAAATTTAAATGAAAACAAAAATGAAGATATGAGGGCAACAGTATGGCTTTATATGATTGCTGGAGTTAGAGTGCCAAGAACATACGACGTAAGATTCTGCAGACACTCGCAGGGCTAGGGGCTGGGATGCCGTCCCTGCCCTGCGCCGTCCCATTAACAACTCCACAGTTTTCAGCAACGGAAGCAGCACCCAGGGTTTCTCCATTCACTTTTATCCTCCACCAATCACAGAAGCTCGTTTCATAACGTCAGTGCCGGCCCGGAGTAAAGGCGCTGTGTTCACGGAGCTAACTAGGTGCCGTGCTGACCCGGAGTAAAGGCACGGTGTTCACGGAGCTAACTACGGGCCGTTCATCAGCACCATGGGGCTAGCTCAGAGACTAGACTGCAAACACGCTCCATGAGCGCCCACCTGCCTGGAGCCCTGGGGCGCCACGACTCAGGCATCCGTCTCTGTAGGAGTGTGTCAAAGCTGGTCTCAGAACCAGAGGGCATGGACGTCAAAGAAAACCACCGATCCCTGTTCTCAACCCACAGACTCCGGGTTGGCGATACAGACCTGTCCTTCCGCAGCTCCCTGGGTGACTTACAGTACATCAGCTGGTGCAGAGACACACAGGTGAGGAGAGGAACACCAAAGGACCACAGAGAGACTTTTTATAGACCCCCCAAAATGACTGACGTGGTGACGGGCACCGAGGTCACAGCTTGGGCTCGTCGCTGTCTTTCCCCAGGTGGAGGATGGCCTTATTTTCCAGAAGTTCCATTTGCCCACTGCCGGGGCTCACCAGGTTGTTCAGCATCGCTCTAACAACTGTCACCACAGGAACAGAGTACCCGCTGGCCCAAGAGTCCGGCAGAGAGCCGAAGAATTTTCTAACCAGCCATTCGCCTGGGCGAGACTCTTGCCTGTCACACAGCAGGACTCTAGGGGACAGAGAAAAGCAGGGGGAGAGACAGCACGTGCGCTCAGACTTTACGAGGACTTCAGATTGGCTTCTGTTCCCCTAAAACCTGTCGGCAGAAGCCCCAACCCCAAAGACAACCGTATTTGGAGATGGCCCTTCTGGAGGCAATTAGAGTTAAGAGGTATTGAGGGTAGGGACAGGGGGCTGCTGTCCTTATGAGGACACGACGTATCTTTCTACACATGCAGGAGAGAGGCCACGTGAGGCCACACGTGCCTACGAGGAGGAGCGCCTCAGCAGACACCAACCTCCAGGCCTCAAGAAAATCAATAGGATCACGTGGCAGTTGTAAAGTTTGATTTGTTAAATGGTGGGGGCGGGGTCAACATTTTAAAAGGCAAAAAGGCATTAAGTGAATAAAATTTAAAATGTTAAGGAAAAAAGTGCATGTAACAACTACTTTCAGAAAGTTCCAGATGATTCTGAGGCAGCCCCAGGCTACTCTTCCCCCCTCATCCCCCGAAGCTGAAGGGTGGGCTCTTCAGGGAAAGCCATTCATTACTAGCTAACCTTGTTCACAGATGTCTTAGCCTTCAGCCTCTCTACTTAACTCCTAGCAGGATGAAACTTACCCGGGCCGAAACACCGAGAAGCGATCAAACTGTAGTTCTGCAACCTTGGCTTCCACTTCTCCCTGTTAAGATTTAAAATAAAATATAAAGTAAAAGAAATCAGTGTTTCTGAACTGAACTCCTGGAAACCAGTTGCAGAGGGAGGAGCGATGAGCAAAGGGGTGAACAACGGGCTGGTGAATCCCAGAGAAACAGCTGACCTGAACAAGGGACTCATGGACCTCAGACAGATGGCTGAGAGGTCAGCATGGGACTGACCCAGACCCCCTGAATGTGGGTGTCCGTGAGGAGGTCTCGGCATTCTTTGGGGCCTCAGGCAATAGATCAGTATTTATCCCTGGCATACAAATGGACTTGGGGAGCCCATTCCACATGGAGTGATGTTCTCTCAGCCTGGACACATGGGGGGAGGGCCTAGCCCCTGCCCCAGGATGATATGACAGACCTTGGAGATCCCCCATGAAGGGTCTCGCCCTCCCTGGAGAGTGGAGTTGGGATTGGGGGGGTTGGGGCAGTTGGGGGGTAGGAGAGGAGGGGAGTGAGAGGGAGCTGGGATTGACATGTGAAGCAAGCTTGTTTCTAATTTAAATTTAAAAAACATGTTAATTAAAAAATATATCTCGGGGCTGGAGAGTTGGCTCAGAGGTTAAGAGCACTGCCTGAACTTCCAGAGGTCCTGAGTTCAATTCCCAGCAACCACATGGTGGCTCACAACCATCAGTAATGAGATCTGGTGCCCTCTTCTGATGTGCAGACATACATGGAGGCAGGACGTTGTATTCATAATAAATAAATACATCTTTAAAAAATATATATCTCAATAATTTTTTGTGATTGCAATAACTTAAAAAAAAAAACAGCATTTGAGCAAGACCAGAGCACTCACAGAAGGCCTGAGAGGAAGCCACTTGGGCTTCTGCAGCTCTCAATGGACAGAAGGAAGAGGCCGTTGAACTCTGGCACACTGAGACTGGTTTGCTACTGGTCAAAACACAGAGAATAACTGTCAGCAGAATGCTCAACCACAAATGGGACATCGACAGACATCACCCCCACACGCCCAAGCCTCAGTGCCCACTGTAGAGGAGGAGGAGAAGCAGAAAGACTGTAGGAGTCAGAAGTTAGGGGACCTGAACAAAACAGTGTCTTCTGGACACGACAAGTCTGCTGCAGTCACCAACTCAGCAGCTGTGGCTGCCTGTATGAGATCAAGCCAGTCAGCATTCTAGCATGGAGGTGGGGGGGGGGGCTTGACAAGCGCCCACCCATAACTGAGGAGCTATGGACAGCTGATGGCTTCTAGGAGACGGAAAGTGAGTTTTATGGGTGTGGCCCCTGTTAGACTGGCCATGCTCCTGGGGCACTCCATTTATTAGTGTCTAAACAGACCCAGAGAAAGTAAATGGAGCATCAGTCCAAACCACCCCCTCCCCCGCCCCTCCTCAGAGCCACAGGTCCCACAGACACCTTTTTAGCATTCAAGCAGTCAGAAAAATATGGTGGCCAGGAGATGAGCCTCCACCCAGTGGGTCGTAGATGACCCCCTGTGTCAATCACTTCTAAGCATCAGCAACCCCCTCCCAGACCTTAAAATGAAGTAACAAACAGAAGATGCTTTAAATTATAAAGCCACGAGTTTCCACACCAGGCATGTAATCACAGAGGCCAGGAGATCTATTAGTGTGACGTGTTTTTCAAGGTCCACTCAGCAAAGAGGCCAAGGTGATGAAGGGGGTAGACATAGGAAGCAATAAAAAACGGAGCCAAGACTTCAGGGTGCTGTACCTGGGGAAAAAGTAGTTAAGGCAATGCCCCTCCCCCCCAGCGGTGTCTCCGACCACAGTGGGGGAATGATCTAGAAATGATGGGCATTTATGAAACAGCCACGCATGTCCAGGCGAGGACGACTGCCAACGGTGTCTAACTGGATGAAAGCCCCTTCCGCTGCGGTACTTGAGCAGAAGGTAAGTGTGCTTCTGAAAGGAATTTCACGCCGAGGAGTCTGTGGCCCAGTAACCTCTCAGGCACTGCTCTTACACTGAGGACAGAGAACCGTGTCTAGGGACACACAGCACAGAACCGGTCTGCCCTCCTGCAGCAGCAACTCTACTTCCGTATCAGGAAATGGAAACTCCTGGTTAAAATCAGCTATGACCATGCATTGTACTGCCAAGAGGCATAAAATTCTGTTCTTCTGGCCAGAGGAAAGTGAAGGGAATGTCCTCTCCAAGGCTGAGGCCATGCCATCCAAGGCCAGGGTTGCCTCTACTACCTCCACCCACTTTGCTGAAAAATTCACGGAGAAGATATCTCTGAAACCACGCCTGCTTTTGAAGAATGTTCTTCCAAAACGGTCCCTGCAGCTTTGAAAGATACACAATAAAGTGTGTGTGTGTGTCTGTGTCTGTGTGCACGCACATGCTTTAAAGGTTCTACTGGTGCCAGGCATTGGTGGCGTATGCACTCGGGAGGCAGAGGCAGGCAGATCTCTGTAAGTTCCAGACCAGCCTGGACTACCAAGAGAGTTCCAGGACAGCCTCCAAAGCCACAAAGAAACCCTGTGTCGAAAAAACCCAAAAAAAAAAAAAAAAAAAAAAAGGTTCTACTGGTTACTTAGCATTGTTGATTACTCTATGTCTATGGAAGACAGAACACGCACAAACCTTCACTTGCAGGTATAAGAAACTGCTGGACTTATCAGCCCCCTTGGAGGACAGCAGGTTGAAATGTTTGCACCCTCCCGCTTTCGCCAGCTCTGCAGACTTCAGCACATAATCTCGGTCAACACGGACAAATCCATCCTGGGGGAGGAAGGGGGGAGAAAGGGCCTGAGTTATTTCCTAAGGTTGCACACTCATGTTAAGAGACAGTTCCCAGGGGTTGGGTGGCAGGCTGGGAGGCCTGGGGGAAATGGGATCTCAACAGAACACATCTAAGCTATACTCGGAAGCCAGACTTAGACCCTGGGAAAAGGCTCCAAGTGATGGACACAGCAGCTTCAGCAGCAATGACCAAGTGCTCTACACCACAGGGATGGCAATGAAACCCAGACAGCAAATGAGCCTACGGGGAGGTGAGGAGCCCGTGAGACTGTCCTGGAAAGTGTGCTCGCTCTCAGTCACGCGTGTGCCTCCTCTTTCCACGGCTCAGCACTGAACCCAGGGCCTCACACACAAGGAAACGCTCTGCCGGGGAGCCACAACGCCAGCCCACTTCTTAGAACAACCTTACAATTCTGCTTTCTCTCTTTGTCTTTCCCCGTGTCTGCTCTACCATGCTGGGGTCTCAGGGTACCACACGGGAACACCCGGGCACTGTGAGAATGGAAAAACTTGATGTCCGGTTTACGAGGAGCCTTTACAGAACACTTTAGATGCTGTATGGTGATGCACATCTTTCAATTTTTAAAACACTGCTAAGTGTGTAATTTAAAAATGTTGGAAAGGGACCGAGACCGCTCAGGGGGGAAGGCGTTTGCCACCTTGAATCTGTGTTCAGTCCCCAAACCCATGTAAAGGTGGATGGAGATAACCAACTCCACAGAATTGTCCTCTGGCCTCCATAAGTGTGCTTGGCTTACACACACACACACACACACACACACACACACACACGCATGCACGCACGCACATGCACATACACACACAATATTAAAGTGTTTTCAGAAGGCTGCTAAGAGTCTGAAGACAGCCTGAGCTATACAAACCAACAAGATTGGAGACTCCCCGACTTCCCTAACCACCTGAGGTTTAGTCCAGCGAGGACAGGGCTGAACCTTCATTCTTAATTTAATCACAGGGTCAGAGCTCCAAAACTATCTGAATAAGGTAAATCCAGTTAGGATAAAAAACAAACAACACAACTACCTAGTAATGGAGGAAAGAGAGAGGGTAACCCCAGGGCTTAACTGAAGGACCCATGCTTTCACTTCCTAAAGTGAACTGAGCCCTGGTCCTCTGCAGAAGCAGTAAGCGGCTAGCCTTCTCTCCAGGCCTGGAACTCATCCCTTACTCAGGAATTATCACCGTCTTCTTTGGTGTTTTAGACTTTGACACCGAGACCTAACAACTCACCTGCCAGCCCGGCCTATATGCTGACTCAAGTTCTTGTTTCTGCTTTGTAACACTAGTACGGAAACAGCCAGAGGAGGTGGTGCAGGCCTGTAGTCACAGCACTTGGGAAGCAGGGACAAGAGAACCACAGCACGTTTGAGGCAGGTATGGTTTTTGTGACAGGCTCCAGACCAGCCAGGGCTACATAGCAAGACCATGTCTCCAAAACAGAAAATAAATAAATGTAAAGTTGATTCCTTTGACTTCTCTAGATGGAGATTTTAGACATGCTGAGACTAGACAGAAAAAACCCCAAACTAAGAAAAATATCCTTGCTTGATCATTCTCATATTTATTTCTTTCCGTTGCTCTAATTAAAAGCAATTTTAATAACTGGCTTATTATTCACAATGTAGAGTTGGCTAGTAACAGAAATTTTGTCTTGCGTTAGCACAATGCTTGGATTATTATAGCTGTCTGTGTTCCGATGCTTGCTTTTTTTTTTTTTCCAGCAGCTTCTTTAAAAATAAGAGAGGCTTAGCCAATCACAGGCCTCTAGACCGACGCTATCTCTCTCACTTAATCCAGGGTCAGGAGAGGGATAATTTGATTAAACTGAGACCCTAATTTATTTGGCTTTAGTTCTGGATCAACCTTTCCTTAATAGAGTGCTGTCGCCCCCAATCGTGTGACGGAAATTAAAGTGACATAAATGCCACGGGACTCTCTCAATCTGATTAGCCAGCGGAGACACATCAATACCACCCCAGCCGTCAGGCTCCAGCGTCCTTCCTTTCACCAGCCTGGCTAGCAACTGACAACGGCTTCTTGAAGGACCAGCGCCCACGCCAACGTGTGGACCCCCGTCCTCGGCCCATCATCCCCTCTCAATGGGCCCTGGTGACAAGGTGCCCACACCTTTCTCCAGGGCTATTCTCCAGACAAAGCTAAATACTGTTTTATTAGCAATCATTGGCTGTTAATCCCAACGGACTTCACAAATCCCCTGAGCCCTCAAGCTCATTATAAATACGCACTTTCCAAGCGCACGAAATTTTAAATTTCACTTCCTTCACTCTGATGGCGTGGTCTTTTAGCTGCTGAATTAGACTCTAAAGCAAAAGGGTCAACGGCTTCCAGGGACTCAAAAAACAAGCAGAAATGAGGTCCCTGGGACTGGCTAGAGACGTCAATGTGTGCTAGGTTTGGAGGAGGGGCAGCTGGCACAAGGAACATTGTATTTATCCATGGAAAGACCTAGCTTTAATCTTACTCCTCTTCTTGCTCTCTACTACTCAAATTAAACACAGTAGAAAAACAAACTTCTGAAGCTACTCCATACCCCAGAGAGTTTTCCAGAAAAACTGTACCTCACTGTCTAACCATACAACAAGAGGAAAGCCAGGCCTCTCTTCTGAGAGTATTAAGCCCACCATAGCTAGTCTGTCCTGCTCTAAGATGGGGACGTTTGCTAAAATAAAATAAATTAAGTTTCCATGGTAAGTTTCTTTCCCAGATCTCCTCAGAAGTGATGTGCTCAGGGGGTTCTGCCATTGGCACGCGATTCCCCAGATACTTCTGAGTCTTATTGAAATCCAAGGGTACAGAACGCATCTTCTAGTCTTTTTGCCAATGTCTGAAAACTAGTTAACAACACTACAACACTGTGGCTCTGAAACAACTCTTGTTGCCATTTTCTTGTTGCTTTGAGATAGGGTCTCAGGCTAGCCTCAAACTCACTTATGAAGCCAACAGTGATGTTGAAGCCCTCATCTTCCTGCCTCTACCTCCCAAATGTGGGACTAATAGGTCAAGAAGAACCCAGTAAATGGGCTGGTTTGAGTGAGAAATGTCCCCATAGTCTCAGGCATTTGAATACTTGGTCTCCAACCGGTGCACTCTTTGGGATATTTCAGAGATGTGGCCTTGTCAGAGGAAGCATGTCACTGGAAAGCAGGACTTGAGGTTTCAAAGCATAACTCCCAGTGGGCTCCCTGCTTCCTGCTTGTGGTTCAAACCTGAGCCCTCAGCTTGCTGCTCCAGGGCAAGCCTGCTACCTGCTACCTCTGCCCTGCCATCATGGACTCTAATCCTCTGGAACCATAAGCCCAAATAAACTCTTCTGTAAGTTGCCTTGGTCACCATGCAAAAATAGAAAGATAACTAATACAACAAGACAGCTAAACAGTGATAGGACCAGAAAAAATTCTGGAACAACCAACAGTCTCCAGGCCCTTCCTGAAGAGGAAGACCTATCACTGTGTAAAGGGTCTCAGCTGTGATTCTATTTGGGGGTTCTCATTCCGTCACCTCTTTTCAGTTCAACCCTAAGCCAGAGTGGAAAACAGATGCTGACAGAAGAAGAAAGATGCCACCTGACACCCCACGTGTGTCCTGAATGGCAACTCTCTGTCCGATGCAGGGAAATGAGAGGCAGCTCTTGCCTAGAGGAAAAAAAGCATGGGAACTCAACCCAAACAGCAACCGAGGATTTGTGAGGTCATCACTGCGCTCACTTCAGTCTTTCCTCTGCTTTGCAGTCAAGGGATTCTGCAGGTGGGGGCGGAGGGGGGCACTTGGTGTTAGACAAGGAGGGGTGCTCAATAGACACTGACCTACATACTCAAGGCTACCTGCTTTCCCACAGGACCTGTGATCGGGGTCCTCGACACTATCGAGGACTTCAGCATTTCCCAAGCTTCCTCCTGAACAGCAAGCAACACAGAACAGGACTGGGCATCTTACCTTGTAAAAGAGTGGGGACAAATATGCAGGCTGTGAAGACCTGCTAACACCAACTGATCTGCTATTATTGCACAAAAGTAGCCATACACGATATGAAATGCAATGAGCCCCGGCTGTGTTCCAACCAAAGCTTTATTTATGGACACTGAAATTGAACTCACTGAGTCTTCACGCAGTATAAAAATTTCAGCCATTTAAAAACATCTGTTGGTCATGGGCCACACAAAGCTTGATGCCGAGCGGCATTCAGCTCCCAGGCTGGGCTATCAGAGCGTATTGTGACAGCAACCGGAAGCCACAAGATCCTACGGATGTCTAATAAACATTGCAGTCACTTTAACAGCATCAAGCGTTTGACAGCATCCACAAACCCGGGCTGTTAGAGTTTACTGGGAACTGGAAATCCAGGAAGGGGTGAAAATATGCCCTCACTATCCAAAGCCTTCGCGTACTGCACACAAGGGAGCTGCATTATGCCCAGCAGTGCCTTTGACTTTTGCTCTTCAAGGCACATCTGGTTTCCCAGGGTGTCGCAGCCTTCCCTTGGCCCATGCGGCTAGCTAGTTAAAGCAAGGTTACTAGGACCATAGTGCTTGGAAAACACACTTCCAGAGGCAGCTTCAGCTCACTTCCTGTCCATCCTCCTGGTCCTCTGGCTGCTAACTCATTCCTCAGACTACTGACCTGGCTGCTCTTTGCCCCCTTTGTGTTCATTAATCACCTTTATCCTTTCTAACTGACTTTAAAGACAAACTGAGTGGTTTAAGAGGTGGGAGCTACTTAGATTAAAAAGCTATCTTCCTCCGGTTAGAACTACAGCTCCAGTGCGACATTTAGCATCCCCCCCCCTCCACCCGCACACACACACACACACACACACACACACACACACGATTTTTGCCTTGTTGTATGCTTAATGCAGCAGTCACTCTGCTGAGTCATCTTCGCCAAAGCCAGGCTTGTGCCTGAAGCTGAAAGCCGCAGAGTGCCGGGCAGGTGCAAAGGCTCTTCATGGCTTTAGGAGGATGCTCTGCTTATACCTGACCCAGGGCAGAAAGGACCGCACCAGCTGAGCAGGAGATGCAATCCCTGAGAAAGCAGAGCTTCTCCGTAGCCCAGTTCCCCAGCCCTGAGCTCCCAGGGTGGGAAGGTACAAAACCGCACAGGGCACAAATGACCCTCTCAACCAAAACCACTCCTACAATCACCTTCTGCAGCACCAAGAAGCCCAGAGAGACACCACCGAGCCACTACTCTGTTCACAGAAAGCACAGCTCGGAACCACATCAGCCTACTGCTTCATGAACGCTGCCCTAAGAGGGGCTGGTGAGGAGGCTCAGAGCAGGTACTGCATTTCCAGAGGACCTGAGTTCAATCCCACACACACCACGAGGCTCACAACTGCCTCTAACTCCAACTCCAGGTAGATCCACACCCCTGGCCTTCATGGGTACCTATAAAACACACACACACACACACACAAAACTACTTATAATTCCAGCTCCAGGTAGATCCACACCCCTGGCCTTCATGGGTACCTGTAAAACACACACACACACACACACACACACACACACATACACACACACACAAAATTACTTATAACTCCAGCTCCAGGTAGATCCACACCCCTGGCCTTCATGGGTACCTATAAAACACACACACACACACACACACACACACACACAAAACTACTTATAACTCCAGCTCCAGGTAGATCCACACCCCTGGCCTTCATGGGTACCTGTAAAACACACACACACACACACACACAAAACTACTTATAATTCCAGCTCTAGGTAGATCCACACCCCTGGCCTTCATGGGTACCTGTAAAACACACACACACACACACACACACACACACACACACAAAATAAAATCTTAAAAGACAAAAAAGCTAGTGTAAATCACTGTAAAGGTTAATTTTGTCAACTCGACCTGACCTGGAAGCAAACCTAGATTTAGTTAACTGGGGCGGGAGCCGGACGTAACATAAGCGTGGGTAGCACCACCCCACGGGCTGAATGAAAGATGAAGGGGAACCGGGCTCTGGCATCATCTTTCTGCTTCCTGACTGAGGCCCTAAGAGCTGCTGGGGTTGCTGCCTCCGTCCCCTCCCCTCCTAGCTGGACTGAGCCATCACACCGTGAGCCAAAATAAACCTCTCCTGCCTCAAGGTGCTTTTGTCAAGTGATGAAAAAGTGGCCAACACAATCACTGTGGCAGAATCAATCTCCTCCATATTGAATAGCTACGCAGACTCCAGCAAGCAAATCCCGTCAGAGGAGTAAACAATACTCAAGACCTAAACTGAGCAAGATGTAGAAATGTTTGTACAGGATCTGTATTATATACCTTGACTTTTAACTACGCAGTAAACTATAGCTCCTAGACAGGGGCTGACTCGATTTAGCACACCATTAAAGAGAAAATAAAATGTGTGTTAAAGTGGTTTTTGCGTCAGTGAGTGCTGAGTCATCCCTGGGCTGAATCACCGCTGACGGCTAAGTCATCACGGGGGCTTGACTGAATCGTGCCTCTGGGTTCTGATGATCTAGCTCCCGAGTTTAAAGGGTAGCTTGCAAAGCAGGTTGAAGCAAATGATTGAGAGAAAATGCTTCAAGCCTAAAACATTCATTATGGAAAGAAACATAAAGTCTACCACCCACACCGTATGAGCCAACTATGTTTGCCCAGACACTGTGGGCTGCTTTCCTTAGTCAGGGGATGTTGTGATGGTTGTAGTATCTCCATAGGCACGACCGTGTAAATTCTGTGATGTAACTGGCATTCAGGACTGAACTCAGAGGTTATTCCGAAGATGGATGACCTTCTCTGCAATGCCCCGTGTATAATACAGATGGGCAGCAGATGGAATCTTAAACACATTCTTACGTTTAAGCACTGCAATATGACCCAAGAAAAAGCGAGACAGGAATTCTCCACTCTGCAAAGATGGTTCAGCAGTTAGGCCCTCAAAGTCGGTTCCCGGTACCCAAGCCAGGTAGCTCACCAACACCTGTAACTCAGGCGCCCTCTTCTGAACTCTGCAGGCACCTGAAGTCTCCTGTGGCCATAATCACCCCCACACACACACACAAACATTAAGAGAAATGAAATAAATCTTTGAAAGGACAGAAGGAAGAGGTCCTTGATAGCACTGGCCAGTAAGAAGAGACAAGGGCATTTCTTGCTCACGGCTCCGGCTTTCTTCCTGGTGGTGCCCAGGCAACAGAATCCAACATCGTGACCTTGAAAGACAGAAGCGTAGTCATCCAGCTTCTCAAAGTCCACCACTTCTTGATTCTAGACAAGGGAGGACACGTAATGGCATGTAATTCCACACACATAAGAAAGAGACAAAGCACTCTTCAAGATGGATGGAAGAAATGGCAAATGATTATCGAAGGGTCTAAACTCATAACACCAAATTTGCCAAATTCCCTTTTTCCCACCCAAAAAAACGGGAGCTGGGTGTGGAACTCAGTGGCCAAGGACTCACAGGGTACACGTGAGGCCCTGGTTTGTATGCCAGCAATGAAAACCAATTTAATCGGGGATACACATTATGTTCACAGAACATGTAACTGCAGTAGAACAAGCCAGATTTCAAATCTCCAGGTCATGTGTACCTTACCTCTGGGAAAATTTTAAAAAATTAATCTGTACTTGTACCAGGAAGGAAGCTGTTCAGACAGGATGTGGGCACATACAGGAAACAGAATCTCAAAGGAGAGCCAGGTTCAAATCTTGGGCCTGGTATTCGCAGACATGCAACTATGGCCAAGTTTTTGTCTTTTGATTAAATGTCTTGAAATTGGCTTTACGCACATGGGTACTTTGCCTGCATCCGTGTCTGTGCGCCACACGTGTGTAGAGTCAGGAGGCACAGGAGAGGACCCCTGGGGTCCCCTGGAACTGGAGAATTAGCAGGTGGCTATGAAACACTATGTCCATTGATGGAAAGCTAGCCCAGGTCCTCTGGAAGAGCAGCCAGTGCTCTTAACTTCAGAGCTGTCTCTCCAAACCTATGACCAAGTTTTGTTCAGCCGCAGTGTCTGGGTGATAATCGCTCCTTAGGTTTAATTAATTCCTGAACTACCTTCATTAGAACTAGCCAGAGGGGACTGGAGAGATGGCTGAGTTCAATTCCCAGCAACCACATGGTGGCTCACAACCCATCTGTAAGGAGATCCGGTGCCCTCTTCTGGCGTGTAGGCAGAACACCATATACTTAGTAATAAATAAAATCTTTAAAAAAAATTCTTTAAGAACTAGCCAGGAAGAACCCAAGACAAAGACATCTTCCTGGGACTTGTCCCAACACCTGTGAGTCAGCCTCTGCAGTTTCTACAGTTCCCTCCTCAGTATATCTGTTTCTCTCACGACTCTTTGCCTCTCCCTCCCTCCCTCCCTCTCCAGGACAGGCTGGCATCAAACCCATGTAACTGAGGCTGACCTTGAACTTCCGATCCTCTTACCTCTGTCTCCCAAATGCTAAAATTACAGGTTGGCTCCACCAGGGGCCTTGTGCGTTCTAAAGCAAGCACTCCACCAGCCCAGCAGTATCAGTAACGCTGTTTTGTTTTCCTCCCGCGGTCTTTCTCATCTACTCTGAAACTGATGCACGCTAGGCAAACTAAGATTGGTGGACCCTGCCTGCAGTCCCAGCACTGGAAGAATGAAGAGGCAGCTGAACTGAGTTCAAGGCCAGCCTACGCTAGCTAGCTAGAGGAGCACGGTCTCAAACCTGAACATCCTTGTAGCTAAGAGTGTAGGCTTGCCATCAGACCCTGCAGGGCTCCATCGCCCAGGAGTTCAAATGAAACCTTGGGGCTGTCGCTATCTTCAGCTCCCTCAGAAGGATGTTCCTGGCACAGTATGTACTACACTAGAGAAAACAACAAAATAAAGCCTGCTTAAGAGATGGGCCACCAAGACTCTGCTCTCAAGAGAAAATTGCAACCTCAGACGCCACTTGCCAGGACCTCCCCAGGGCTCAGGAATCTAGACTATGGAGTCCACCCAGCACCCACCTGAGCCCAAATAGGGAGGTCTATTTAAACCAGCAAGTTCCAATGCACCAGGCATTAAAAAAAAAAAAAAAAAAAAAAAAAAAGAAGACCAAGTGTTGGGGAAGTCCTGTGTATATGTTAATAAATTACTGCTGGCCAATAGGAATCTAGATAGGTGGGGCTAGGAGTCCAGGAGGATTCTGGGAGGAGAACACAAGAGAGTCAACATGTGACGCCATGGGGGTAGGACGCCGGGAACTATTCTCCGGTAAGAAACATACTTAGATTAACAATTATGGGGTAATTACTTAAGGCAGAGCTAGCCGGTAAGAGACAAACAAGGCCAACAGCTTCATAATTAATATAGCCTCCTGTGTGTTTATTTGGGACTCATGCGGATCTAGAACCAGGCTGGTGCAGCAGAGCCCAGGCGACTGGCGGGGGATGAACCAAAGCGGCTAGCAAAAGAAAAAGCTTCTCTTAACAACCAAGAAATCCCAGGAATCAAGAACACAGATTTGCAAGTGTGCCCACCAGTCAAAATCTTCCTCCGTGGAGCCCACGGAGTTGGATTGTGGTCCCAGCAGCATACTACACTGTTCAAATTGCGGCAGCGGATAGGTAACTCTTGTTTACTGGAGAACAAAATGTGTATTATTACCAGATGGAAGTCTGGTGGGTCCCATTTGCCTAACACGAGCGTGTGGCTTACAAGGAAGGCAAGATTGCGTTTACAGACATAAGGCCTGGGAAGTGAAGCGGGCGGATTCCTCCCAGGGAGAAACTCCACCTGTGTTTGTCACACTTGCCCACTCCGACGCTGTGGAGCGCTCAGGTAGGCAAAATGAGCAAACAGTGTGCTCTAGGAGCCACGAACAGCGGCTTTCTCTGACCGCCATTCCCCACTCCAACCTGGGTTCCGGACACCGGAAGGGCATTGCAGGACGCTTTCGGATAAAAGGCAGGCCTACAAGCCAGGCACAACCCAGGGCTTGCCAGAAGGGATCGTGCCCGGTTCTGATTATTTCTCCGTGTTCGCTACCACCTGGCAAGGGTCAGCCCTTGGATGCAGACACCTTCCCCTCAGCAAAATGATTAGGGATGCGTTTGCCTTATAGCCCCAGCTCAAATACCCACCACATTTTTATAAGCTTCCTCCTCGAGCGTGAGCTTCCTCCGGCCAATGAGCGTGACTTTGGAAAACAGATTCTGTCCCAGGATTTCCTTTAAAAGTACTTTGCCGGTTTCTCCGCTGGCGCCCAAAATAAAGACGGATTTGTTCTGCATCCTGAAGTCTTCCCGAAGCTTCGGCAGAGCCTCCTTGCCCGCCATGCTGGGGAAACAACACCCACAGGTACTGTCTCAGAGTGCTAGGCGACAGTCTGCATGCACCCTGGGGAACAGGGCTTGTTGATCTGTTGAACAGAAGAAACTATCTACACGGTCCCAGCCCAGGGGAAGTGCTGAGTCACAGCGGGGCTGGCGACAAAGGCCAACCCTGGCACCGCCAATGTGCCCAGCTGAATGGCACAGGTGTCTACCCCGCCGGGCCCGACTGGACTTGGCTGCAGAGCCCGGCTCCATCCCCTACCCGGGGTTACCTGGGGCCAGCCCCGGACCCCTCGTCCCCACGCTGCAGCAGGAGCATTGAGGCCACCAGCGCGGCTGCCACCGCGCCTAGCGCCGAGAGGCCAGGCATCTCTCCACATAGGGCCCCGCAGTGTCCCCTCCCGGCCTGCCGGGATCCCCGGAGAAGACCAACCAGACCCTACCCGCCGCCGTGTCTTCCGGGTGACAGCGCGCTCGCGGCCCCGCCCCACCGAGGGCCGGAGCTGAGCGCGGGACCCGCCCCTCCCGGCGCGCGAGCTGCACCCAGGCTCTTAAGCCGCTGCGGGGCTGCGCTTCACCCCCCCTCTCCAGACCCTCCCCCCCATAACCCTCCCTTGCATGATCTCCCTAACCACCTGAGAACACAGCCTTCAGGTTTCAGCTAAAGGCATCCCTTGATCCCGCCCCCCCAAAGTGTAATTTCAATCTTGCGTTAGGAAGGCGTCATCTCACCCCAGGTTGGGGATATAGCATGTAGCTCATGAAGTTAATTGACTGCTTCCCTAGCATTCATGGAGCCCTGGGTTCCATCCTCAGCATTGGCTAAATCGGATGTGGTGGCTCAAGCGTGTAATAATACCAGCAGAAAGAGGCAGGAGCGTCATCCTCGTTGAAAACATAGTGCGTTCTGGGTTCTAGGCCACCCTGGAATGTATGAGCTCCTGTCTCAAGAGCTGGGAGGAAGCTCTCAGCAGATGTGCAAGAGCGTGGTGCACGAAACTGTCAGCAAAGTAAAACATTAAAAAAAAAAGCCTAGCTCCATCCAAACCACCATGAAAAACAAAACTTTTTTTTTGTTTTGTTTTGTTTTGCCTCTTTAAGGACACATACCCTCTTCTCTCAGGTCAGAAGTCTGACTGACTAGTTTTCAGATTGCTTTCCCTGCCCAGGTCCTGGTCCCCTTCAGGATGGTTGAGGAAAAGTCTCCAAATCCGATCTGGAGTTTGATCGTCAATCCAGGACCAATGGTTAGAACGCAGCTATCCATAACGGGCCTGCCCTGGGTTGTGGATGCATAGAGATTAGAATGAATTCTGTGACTCTGAGATATTTATTTCAGTTAATCGCACGCAGGTATCATGGTGGGTGTAACAAGGGCACCTTGCAGGAGTCTGAGTCTGTTTTTTCTTTCCACTTTGTGCTTTTGGCTACCAAATTCGAGTCCTCAGACTTGGTGGCAAGCACATTTACCCACTGAGTCATCTCCCAGACCACCCAAGAACGTGATGACTCTGATCCAAGCCCTGAACATGCTGTGACCCAGGAGCACGATGGAACACAGAGCCCCACGCATGCTAGACAAGCACTCTACTGCCTGAGCACATGGGGTGTGCCCCTGAGAAGGGGTGCGTCTTCAAACATGGGGTGAGACCGTGCCTTCCAGTACAGGATTGAAATTACACTTTGGGAGACCAAGCAAGGGTCACAGCTCACTCAATCTAGAGGTCAAATGAAATGTGCCTTGTCCCTACCTGCTTATCAGGTGGAGGCCTGGCTGAGGCTTAGCCAATTAAATGCTTCCTTCCACACAGGTTTTTCCACTCTGGGGTGTGTGTGTGTGTGTGTGTGTGTGTGTGTGTGTGTGTGTGTGTGTGTGTGATACAAAGACACAACATAGCCAGGGGTGGAACCAGCTGAGCTAGGGCAGGGAGTGGTTAGAATTATGGGTGCTGTCCTGTGAGCCCCTGCGCTGGTTTGCCTGCCTTAACTGCTGTCTGTTGGCAGAGTGTATTCTGAGGACTTCCTGTTATTGTGACAATAGATCCCTTTTCCTTCTCACTCCAGTCAGATGGACCCTGCTGCTTACAGTTTAACACCGTGGCAACAGGGAGCATAACCTGAGCTGTCACAGTGCCAGGCTGTCAGAGGCTCAGCCATTGCCTTCCTGGAGACTATCATACAAACGTCCTCAGATCTTGTCAGCTCACACGGTCTTGGGGAATTCGTATATTAGTCCTTGCAGAGATTATTAACTATAGCAAGGTTCTCTCCTTTCTTGTTCAAAACTGTCATGTGATGTGCATAAAGTAAAATGTCCAGGAGGTCCTAAAGATTCAGGTCATGATTCTAGAATATTGTATACCTTGGCTAAGCACACAGTCCAACACACTAGATCTGGAATGCTGCTATCCCAGAAGCCTTTGTGCTTCTGCTTTGGTGACCCCTCCCACTGGAAGTCCAGAGCTCTCCAGTCTTTTCAATCTGAGTTTTGCTTGTGCGAGAATCACAGGGCCCCTACTCTTGTGTCTTAGGTTTTGGGGGTTTTGCTTTGCTTTACCTAGCTTATGTGTTTAATATCCAATGCTGTTTATAGGGCTGTGTGATCAATTCCACAGGCCTCATACACTTCAAGGGCTACCTCCCTTTATCCAAAATACAAATAACAAAAGAAAATACATATAGCAAGGAAACCAGGACTCGGGAAGCAGAGAAAGAAAGATTCTGTAGTGACCAGTCCCCCGATTTAGCAGCCATTACAGGCTAACACGTGCTTGCATGACCTTGCCACTCCTGTCCTGGTCACTAAGGTCAGATGTCCTCCTCATGGCAAGGAGCCAATCAGAAGTTAACTGGCGGGGCTGTACTTTACGGCTCTGGGTGTGCTTTACGGACAGTGCACAACCTGATGTGCAGAACATAGCAACCACCCTGAGAGGGCCTATGGGCCATAACAACCAGTTGACCAATCAACACAGGGCAGGTCACCCAAACCTGGAAGTGCACCAATCCTGAGACTGTTTTATACCCCTAGACACTCCCCTTATGCTGCCCTTTAAGATCCCTGCCTCGAGGTTGCTTGGGGTCTTTCTCCAGCCATTCACCATGGTGGTGGGGTGAAGGGACCGAGCTAATGGGGTTAGCTCGTTAAACATCTACAATAAAAGACTCTTTGCTTTTGCATCGAAATGGGCCTCTTGGTGATTTTGGGGTTCAGAATTTGGGCACAACAATTGCTGTGAATCTGAGGCTGGCCTGGTCCACATATTTAGTTCCAGGACAGCCAGGGCTACCCAGAGCAGCCCTGTCTCAAAAAACAACAGCAACAGAAACATACAGGGGCTATTCGGAGGATCTACATGCAAAGGCACCGCACCAAACTTGGCAACTCAAGTCAGCATCAGGTCCCACATGGCAGAAGAGGACTGAGAACCGGAAGTTGCTCTCTGACCTTCACATCTGGCCGCTCCACACCCACCCCTCCCAATAAGTATATAAATTAAATAAAATTAGTTCAAAGTACGTATGCTTGAAAGTGTGCCTTAGACCCATGTTTGCCCAATTTTTTTGTGGCCCTAGAGCTGTGTCCTGTGACATGTGGGTCAGTCAGTCCGGAATGTTTCTGAGTAGCTGTTCTACGGTGCTGCTCTCCTCCTCAGGGCATACCATGATGCCATCTTGGATTTTGCTGGTAGCCATGGCAACTAGAACACAGCAATGCAGTGGTAGCCAGGTTAATGGTAAAGATAACATCGTTAGTGGGGGCTATTAACACCCCCTAACAGATGGTTTTAAAAAGTCATAAAATCCTCATCCCCTTGTTGACCCCTCGCTGAGAGACTCTAGACTACATTCAGAGTAAAAGGTTAGTCTCAGGAAAGACCCCACAATGTAACTTCATGAAGTCACCACCCATGATGGGGTTTCTCTCTGTGGCATTTGGGAGTCACCCACAGTCCTGCAGGTAACTCTTCACCCATGTTCTGTAAACACCCCCCTTCCAATAAACTCATTAGTCTCACCAAGTTGGACTTTGGTAAAATCATACCGGTGGTGTCCTTTTGAGATAAATTGAAAGAAAAAATGAATAACACAGCTGCATGCCACTATCCCAATAGACTGGACGAACCCACATCCTGCTTGTAAACAAGATGTTTGCTTCCAGGTTTTTCTGTTGTAAGCAAGGATCTGATCCTTTTTTTTTTTTTTAACCAGTCTCACTGTGTATGTGTTTTCATCGCTGTCCCAGGGCGGGGACACAGTTTCAGGCTTTGCTCACTTGGAATCATCAGTCTTTAGAGTCAGACAACCCCTCATTACTGTTTCAGCCAGAGTTCTACATTGTAGCACACACAGATGCCCAGTTTCACCGTATCACTTTTCAAGCTAACCTCATGACTAAGACCTCAGCCATGAGATGGGAGCAAAGAGAACACGGGCTGGTCTGAATCGGGTTATAGAGGAAGCCTCCCCTCCCATCATTCTCTTCCCTCCTCTCTGAGGTAGACTGTGAGTGAGGCGCTGGTGAGCCAATGCTATCCTGGAGGAGAGCAGGGCAGGGCACAGAGTCCTGGAGGGCTTCACAGAGCAAAGATGCCTGCCTGCCCTGATGCCCACCTCCTCTGCACAGTGGGGGTGTAAAGCAACCTCTGCCATGTCAGAGCCACCAGCAGCTCAGACAGAATTTCCCCCAAATTTAAGATCTTTTAGTCAGCCTTGCCAAGGGATTATCTTTCGAAAGACACACTCTGTGCTGAGCCATAGAGATTTTTCCAGAATGAGTGGGGTACCAAATCCAGTCACTCTGCCCCAGGAGGCAAGCTTGCAAATACTTGGGGAACTGAAAGAAAGTCCAGGTGAGATGACAGACATCCCCAAGGGCTGGGGCTCAGTTAGCAGAGTCTCCGGGTTCAGTCCTTACACACACACTCACACACACACACACTCACACACACACACTCACACACACTCACACACACACTCACTCACAGGTTCAGTCCTTACACACACACTCACACACACACACACTCACACACACACTCACACACACTCACACACACACTCACTCACAGGTTCAGTCCTTACACACACACTCACACACACACTCACACACACACTCACACACACTCACACACACACTCACTCACAGGTTCAGTCCTTACACACACACCCACACACACACACTCACAGATTCAGTCCTTACACACACACACTCACAGATTCAATCCTTACACACACACTCACAGGTTCAGTCCTTACACACACACTCACACACACACACTCACAGGTTCAGTCCTTACACACACACTCACAGGTTCAATCCTTACACACACTCTCACAGGTTCAGTCCTTACACACACACACTCACAGGTTCAATCCTTACACACACACTCACAGGTTCAGTCCTTACACACACACACTCACAGGTTCAGTCCTTACA